TTGACAAGAAAACTAATAGCTGTATTCATAAAATTTGTTTCTGAATTCGATAATGTTTCTTCTAGATTATTATAAAATATTGGTTCATTGACTAATTTTAACACATGATCAATTAATGATAAATGTTCACTAACAAGTTTGGCATTTATTTGAAATTGATTTGCTCCATGATTGATTATTTGTAATAATTGATTGACTGCTTCAGTTGTTGATTGGTTCCAATTATGTACTGTAGGAACTATCTTATCTAATAATGTGACATATTGTGGTAGCATAACTGAAAGTAAATTTTCCATAGTTTGTTCAAGACGAGACCCTGGAAATAGAATGAAACACAAAATTTAGTCGTTTTATCTGTATAGAAAAATAGTAAAAAAGTCATTACCATTGTACGAAGTAAGAAATGATGGACATTTAAGAAGAAAAAGTTCTTCAATTGTTGTCATTGATTTTTCTTTCTGTGACATATTTGAAAAAGTATTAATATAATGAGATGAAGCGAGACAGTGTATAATAGGATCAATTAATAACACGAATATATCTTTGTTGGAATGATTTTTATCATTCAAACATTGTTGATAATCAGTATATGCTTGAATTAAATGTGTGAAAGTTTTTAATTGATGATTGTTTTTATCGTCGAGAAACTTTCCTGAAATGGCTATATCTGTAAGACAATTAGTAATCGTTTCACATAAGGTAGCATCAGATAACCATGATGGAAGTTGATCAATGCTGTGAACATTATTGATTATTATACTTATTAATTTAGTCATAGAACGAAATGTAAAAGCTTCATGATCTGGTAGATATGAGAGATAACGCCATCGACGAAGTATATCAATGAATAGTATTTGAAGTACAGAAAAAAAATTATTCCATGAAACAGATGCTAATATTAATGAAGGAACACAAATGAGTGCATCGAGAATTTCGACAAGGTTGGACCATTGTTGTTGGTCATTATTATGAAAATTTTTCAGTACAAGTGTTAGTTGATTCAGTAGATCCGTTAATTCTTCCTCAGAGATGATATCGGATTGATCTCTTAAAATATGACAATAATACTTGATTGAAGAAAGAAACTGCTGTTGTTGATTTTTGTCAACAGTTTCGGAACGTTGAGAAGTCAAGGCTGACTTTGCTAACGATTGTTTTCTTACGACATGTTGATGTTTGTGGTGTTTCCGTGACTTATGTCGATGAGTTTCTATATTTTTGTGATCATTATACAATACTGGTTGTGGTTGAGTAGAATTTATTGCACTGTTTGCATATTGTGTGATAGTACTCGATTTAGACCATCGATTTTTATCATGTAAAGGTGTATTTATTATTTGATTGGATTGGATTTGTTCATCGGAAATGATCAACGACCGTGGTACTTCATATGATGGTGGTGGATTTGAATAATAATGAAAGCAAAATGGTGGTTTGTTTGTATGTGAAAAATATGAATGATGTCTGGTTGATATGTTCAAGGACATCACTAATAAGCAGTAAACTGAATTGCACTGGGTCGTTTTTGTTTCATACGGTCGTTCTCTTAATCACTTTATGCATATATCTATAAATAAGGTGAAAAATAAGAACGACATCATGAAAAAGAGACTCTTCGAAGCGAAACAAAGCGTAAATAAAGAAGAAAAGGATTGTCTTAGCAATCACCAGTTTTCAAGGTGTAATTCATTTGACGTCAATAAGAACACAATAGAAAAATTGATAATTTCATACTGAGTAACACATGCTGTATTAATTACTGAAGGCAAAAGATGATTTTATTTTTAGAGAGACACTCATTGGATATTTTTATTGTGCTTAGTAGTAGGAGATAATAATCAGAAATTAAACTTGTTTTTCATGCAAGTCGTATTAACATGATTATATTAATGATGATAGACAATGTCACTCACATGTTTAGATAAAAAAAAAGAAAAGAACAACAAGACAACACTGCGTAGTAAATATGCTTTTCTTCTATTTATTATTATTGCTAGTATTAATAAAATATATTAGTCATCATAGTTAGAAGTTTAATATATCGAACAAAATATCGCAATAAAATGTAATATTTTCATGAAAAGCTGGTTGATAGTAAAGAAAAATTCAGGACATATTTCATAATGATTTTTCGACAATGATCATATTTATTTATTTAATTTTAATTTAAAAAAAAATACGACGATACAACTAAGTCACAATAAAAATTCTTTATTGTTGAAACACGTTGACAATTAGAAAAAAAATAATATTTATAAAGATAACGTGTAGATAATCACCAGCTTGTTTTAAAATATAATATTAAAAAAAAAACTTTCTTTTAAAAGTAGACTGATGGAGAAACCTCTTCAAGTGTCTACCCATCTTTCAATTGACGAGGAACCTTATCCAGATGCCAAACTCCGATTCAGTTCATCCATACCTCATTCGATAGAGTATAGTGAGATGATCAAAAGCTAATGATATTATCGATCATCAACTCTTCCTCGAGGTATTATTCGCGTTTTTCTCTTACACCCAACAAAAATCAACAGAAATAGAAAAATGCATACCTCAACCTAGGAAAGTCGTAGAAGTCTGATATTTTTTTTGAATATAGTAGTAAAGGTCTACTCTATAGCTTGAAAGTTTCAGACCGAAATCATCTTTGCTTGAGGAGATACAGCACTTTCTGTATACAAAGGTTTTTCTAAAACAAAAAGTGCGTCGTATTTTTCTTTTACAGATCTTCTGTTTTGTTCACTGTGGTCACACAACAGAATTACTAATTTCCTTATTTTACTCAAGAAAAGTTTCTTTTGTGATTCAAAATGTCTGTGCGACGCAACGGATACAAAAACGCAATAGAGAAGAAGAGTAAAAACTCTTCAAAGTCGCGCATGACTCCGAGATGAAGTGAGAACATAACTCGGTCTAAAAATCTCAAGAGAATGTAAACTAGGGGAGGTAAAGTTATGCTTAAGTTGAAAGTTGATTTCAACTTAACTTTTTTTCAATGTAACTTTACCACCTCTAATGTAAACGCAACACTTACAAAAAAAAACATTATTTCACACACTTTTTGTCTTAGACCGGATTTTAGAGAAAAACACCTATAAAACCTTGAGAAAGAATTGATGACCGATAATATTTTTTAGCTTTTGATCACCTCACTATAGTCTATCGAATGAGGTATGAATGAACTGAGTCGGGATTTGACACCTGGATAGAGCTCTTCATGTGACGATATAAATTTGATGAGTATTTGTGATTAATAGAAAACTGCAGGATGGTTTGGTTTTTCGAGCCTTTGTTCTTGAGATATCGAAATTTTAGTGGGTTTTTCAACAACAAAAAACTGTGGTCGTCCTCTGATCACTTAAAAAATTGACTTTCGAATTCTGACTTAAACATTTAGACGGACAAAGTTTTTAATGAGATTAATTCATTGTGCAAGTTTTAGTTTCTCCAGTGTTTGCTTTCTAGAAATATAAATATATGAACAAAAATTTACTTCTATACATGAGAGTAGATTTTTGCACGGACGTGATTTTTTGCACTCAGATCTGATCCTGACTCGGACGCGAACGACTGTACGCAGTACTTGACTGGATCCGGACCGAAGTTAATCGGCATTCGACAGATACTTTCACAGTCATATTACGGTTGTCAAACTTTTACTTTATACGAAAAAGTATACTCTTTAGTTTCTTCTATAAACAACAATGAAAAAAAAAAGCGATCATCTCAAATTTCACATGAAGACAATTGGATCAAGTGATTCAGAACTCACTTGGTGTATTTCTGCTTCTAAACTCGATAGATTTCGCTCAGTATACATTTGCTTGCTGTTGATGACGCTGGAATGGAATACAGTGTTGATGTCAAATGTCATAATTGTGAATGTATACATGAATGCTTTTTCATCAAGATAAAACATGTTCACCTTTTAGATAGCTCATTTTCCTCGTCATGTACTCAAGTACTTCGTCATGGTTCTTGATCACTTGCAGATGAATTTCCATTAAAAATAAATTGTCTTAGTAAAATAAATATCGCTTTCTACTTCTGTGGCATATTCTCAAGTACAATAAATTACTCGATCATGTTCGAACCGGTTTTCATTCACTAAGCTTTTACATATATAACGGTTAGAAAAAGTAAAAATATTTTAGGACGTTGAAATTTCATATATTGCTGAATTGAGTGCCGAACATAATCTTAGGTTCGAATTCATGCATTGGGCCAGACGAGGTGCTGGATATCTGACCCGACTGTAGAACACTACATAGGAGAATTTCCAATATTCCATATCTTATGATAGGAGCTACTAGAAAAATTACAATTTGCCTAATAACTAATCTCATTGAGAACTTTGTTCATGCAAAGCTTAAAGTTGCAACTCTGAAGTCGACTTTTCAAGTATTCTAAAGATAACTACAACTTTTTTGTTAAAAATCCAGTCGACTTTCTATATGTCAAAAACGAAGACTTGAAAAACCAAACCATTCTAGACGTTTCTATTATCCACTAGTACTCATAAAGTAGACGTCGTCTCAATCAAAAAGTAGTTTGATACCCGAAGAGGTTCCCTCGTGAGTTTCATATTTAAATAGATTGCAATTTTTCCAAGTTCGGACCATAATGTTCCACTGCTTTTAAAAGCTGTAGACTTGAAGCATTAGAAGTAATTGTAAGATCATATGGTAGATTAGAATATCGTTGAGTAGAGTATGGTTGATCAGCATATGAGTCAGATTGAAATGAATCATTATTAACCATTGATGTTTTAGGAGTATATGAAATATATTTATGTGGAGTAGTAGGAAATGTTTCTTCAGACAATTCTGATACTATTCGAAATGATGTTAGTGGATGTGTAGCTAATCTTTGTTCCATAGCACTTAAAAATCGAGTAAAAGTTGTAATAGGTAATTTCATGTTATATGTCGATTTCAACTCATCATTAAGAATAGTATATGTTTGACTACTTTGATATTTACACATTCTGTATAATTGTATAAGTGCTGGACCATTCGTTGTTTTACATATTGGCATTAATTCACTTAAATGTTCAGTAGAAAGAAAATCCAATACATCAGTATCTGTCCATTCATATACATATTTTCTAATAAAATTTGACGTTGTTTTTCGATTCGTATCCACAGAAACTACATCATAATCATGAGTTGTAGGTATTTCTAGTTTATTAGAAATTATTTCAGTTGGCTTTTCTTGCTGACTGATTTGGACTGCTTTCGATGGAAGAGGTTGTTTTCGTTGAAGACTAATTTCTGCAATTAACTTTTCACAAGCTGTATTAAAATCAAATCGACCAAAATCTACATATATTCTTGATCCAATCATAAATCCTAACCAACCATCTGGTCTATATCCTTCTCGCACTATCAACGGAAGAAGACGTCGTTTACAATTAAATGCATATTCAGCTTCAGCTTGACAATATGTACTTCGTTTATACGAATCTGACATACACATAATGACAAATTCTGAATTTTCAACAGCATCAGCCATAGCACTCATAGCTTAAAATCAATATAGAATGAATTCAATCAAAATAATGGAAACTTTCTTACCTGGTCCATACATATTATTCAAATCAATCCATATTTTAAAACCTTGATCAACAAGAAATTTATGTATTTTGCGAATTAACTCTTGATCAGCATGACAATACGAAATCATCATATCATATTGAAACACTTGTTCACCAGAATCATTTGCAGATGATATTATTTTTGTCACAAGCTGCTTTTGACCATCACTATTTACGATTTCTTCAGTTATCGTTTTCAACCCTTTACCAGTAGTATCATTTTCTTCTGCTTTTCGTTTTGCTATTCTTTCCAAATTTTCTGGTTCTAAGGTATATATATATATATAAAGACATTTCCATTGATAGCTCTATATTAAAATTTGTATTAAATACCTCGTACAAGTTTCCAAACAAGTCCATCAACTGCTTTTTTCAATGGTTCACTGTCACTATCTTTAGAAATGGCTTGAATCTTATTAAGAAAATCGCGATTAGAACGCAGAGCAAGTGCACCTTCTTCACGAAATGTCAAAGACCATAAAATTTCAAATAATAATATGCCTGATTTATCATGTAACTTGTTAGTACATTCGAGTAGAAATGGAATTGCATTTTGTTTTATAATTTCATCTTTCATTTGATCATGTTGAACAAGACCTAAATAACACTATTCGGTTCGATATGATGGTTCGAATGATGGAAAAAAAACCTATACTACGTAGTTTTATATTTATCAGCAAAAATAATTGATCTGTTTATTATTATGAATTCTTTGTAATTGACATTTAATACGAGAAAAGAATATTTCGTATGACATAGTTGCATGCATTATATATAGTAGTCTTTGCATTCAGTTGGCAATTCTTAGCGTTATAATATAATGTACCTCGATATTTTTTTGAATATATCAAAAACCAAAGTAGCTAGAAACAGTGTTTTATCCAGTGGGGGGCATGGGACATTTTGCCCCCCCCCCTCCGGAGACTGAGTTTGATCCCCCGAGAAAAATGAAACTTAAAAAAAATAATATCAATAAAATTTTCCTACAAAATATTTTTGATGCGACATTTTGGAATAATTTCAAGAAATATAGTGTTAGAGTCGGATGACCTAATTCTGACGCGAACAATTTTACCTCACACTAATCAATCTGTAACTCGGTTATTGATCATCTTTCAAAGCTGATTCTTAGTTTTTTTTGAACGGAGTGAACATTTGTGTCGATCTGTATGTATTTGATCATAAAGTAATCAATCTTTGTTTCATAAGAGAAGGAAAAATACGAGCGGAGTCGAGTTCTTTTTCAATTTTCCTGATATTCCTAATTATGCCACTGGGGGTATTCTTAGCTCATAGTTTTTCCATTTCTACTTCAAACGGATTATCTTTCGAAGTAGAACAAGACTTTATGCACACAAATTTCCTTAGTTGTGGCTACAGAATAAACCATAGGCTCCGTCTCGTCGAGGTAGGTCTATTTGTGCTCCTCTCGACATAGTTCACTTTTATATTTTTCGCAATCTTGTCCATAAAATCTTGTTCTACTTCAGACGTCATTCTGTTTGACGTAGTAATGGAAGGATTAGGAACTGAAAATAGCCTCAGTGGCATAATTGAAAACACCAGGAAAATTGAAAAAAAATCAACCCTGCTCGTATTCTCGCACCTCTTATGACCAAAGATTGATTATTTTGTAATCGAACACATACAGATCGACGCAGNTATCGTCATGAGAAATATTTTTGTTATTCAATCTTTCTAGATGATCAATATAAATACTAAATAAACGTATAAAATTTTTTGATTCAATTTGACTGTGTTCAAAAATATTTTTATTGGGTTTCGATATATTTGTAAGACAACTACCAATAATCTTTATAAATGATGAATCGAATGGCCATGATGGATAGAAATCGATATCATTGGTATTCTTAAATAGTTTTTTTAATAATTTAGGTATAACCCGAAACAAAAATGATTGATCCTCATTTAATTGAGACTTATCAATCCATGACTGAAGGATTTCAGCAAATGGTGTTTGTAATAAAGTAAAAAATGTATGCTGAGCAACTGATACTAATATTGATGCACTAATAGGTATAATTGCATAAAGAATATCATTGAGTTTTCCAAGTTGTTCTTCACCACGAGAATTTTTTAGTTGACGTACAAATTTATCAAGAAAACGTGTTAATTCAGCTGTCGAAATAGTTTTTGCTTTGCTAGAGATCATCTCACAATAATCAGTAATCGAGTGTGAATTTTTTAAAGGATTTTGTGATGGTTGCGGTTGATCATGCATTGAATGGAATTTTCCATGGGCTTTTGGTGACTCATAGAACATTTGCATATTTGTATTTGAATTACGAATAATATATAAGTTTTACTTTATGGATAAATATAAAAAATGCTTTATCGATATTTAAGTCTATTGTATCTAGGCAAGATTGCTATGATTTGTTTTCGTATAATGTGTTTGATCATAGATATTTTGCTCTTATTCTATTGTCAACCATCATTTATAGTAGGTGAAAAAACAAATGTTTTAAAGAGGCTACACTTGTTTACAAAAAGAAAAATATGATACAATGCATCATCAAAAGAAAACGGCCTTGCAAATGTATTTGACTGAAATAATACTTTTATACAAACAAAAATGAATATATTTATTTATAAACAGGATTAATGAGAATCGAAATAATCATTTTGTTAAATTTAGGTTAACAGAATATTATTTTACTAACATATTTGTATCCCAATCATTCATACTATGTATGGCCTTCAAACCGATGTGTTTTTTTTTTCAGTTTCCGCTCTATTGATCAACGTGAGTAATGATATAAAAAAAAAATATGTACAACGTAAATCAAATAGGCAACAAATAAATTAAAGAATATAGGAAAAAAACATAAAAGTAAATCAGCCTATTGATATTCATCATCTCAATTGACGATACCTGTTTGTGATAATAAGAAGAATATACTCTTATAATCATGACCGATGATTCTAGTGAGTCACCATCCTTCATAGCTTACATTTGGGCTGGTTTAATTGGTGGTGTGACACAAAAAAGAAAGAATTCAAAAAATCAAACCGAAGATGATGAATCAGTATCGTCAGCAGTCGAACGACAAACAGAAAATTCACGTAAAGGTGGAACTATTTGGGAAGCTGTACGTAAAGCAGATGAACTTGCATTTAAACGTCTTCTTGATGATAATCCAAATCATGCTGATGCACGTGGTCCTGTTGGAGAATGCCCTATTCATATGTTATTTTTATATGGAACAGAAGCTCATCTTAGTATGGCTCGATATTTAATTGGAAAGTTTCCACATACAATAACACAAATATATAATCAAGCTGTAAATAAAAAAGAAATTTTTGTTTTTGGTGTTCTATTGACAAAAAAAAAATGATGTGTTTTTTAGGAATATTATGGTGAAATGGCCCTTCATATTGCAATTATTAAACGAAATGCAACAATGGTTGAATGGCTATTAGGTCATGAACAGAATAAAGCCTATCAACAACAACAAACAACAGCAGCTGCTAGTGGAAAGTTTTTTCAAGTGTAAGTTTTTGTATTAATTTATAAATTAGTGTATAAAATTTTTATTAGAGGTCGACCATGTTATTATGGTGAAACTCCATTAGCATTTGCTTGTTGTACGAATCAATGGAATATAGCAGAAATTTTGCTTAAATATGGCGCCTCGATGGATGCGGTTTGTTATTCATATTTTTTTTTCTTTTTCTAAATTTACGAATCACATAGGTTGACTCCAACGGCAACAACGTACTGCATTTACTTGTGATTCATAATTTACCTGATATGTATACTACGGTTAAGCAACGTTGGTTAGAAGAACAAGAGGAAAACGAGTCAAGTGATGAAGATGATGATGACGATGAATATTTTCAATTAGAGAGAAAACATGTTACTCCATTATGGAAACGTTTAAATAAAGATGGTTATACACCATTAACACTAGCTGCTAAATTAGGTCAAGCTGAAATGTTTTCATTTTTACTGGAGGAACGTAAAATAACTCAATGGAGTTTTGGACCTGTTGCATGTGTACTTTATCCACTTGATCAAGTCGATTTAGATTTTCAAGAAGATGTAAAAACATTAAAAACAAATTTTTTCATTAAAAACTATTTTCGTTTAATTTAGAACCTTGAAACACCAGCCTGTGCACTTGAATTAATTGTACAAAATGCTCATGTTGAACTTATTATGCACCCACGTATGATTGATTTAGTTGATAAGAAATGGGAACGTTTTGCAAGAAGAATTTTTTTCAGTCGATTTCTTTTTACACTTTTCTATATGTCAGTCTTTCTTATTACAACTATACTTGATCAAACACGAACAGAAACGGTAATAAATACTATTTTTTTTTTACTAAAAAAATGCATGAAAGAGAACTTTTTTTTCATTTCTTTTTATCAAACATGATTAAATTTTTTAAGAATATTTCGATTCGGATAATCACTACCTATCGAATGATTTTTAGTATTTTATCAATGTTTTAACTTGTTAGTTATTTATTAATATAATATTATGTCAAAAAAATTCTTAAAGAAAGACATGACTTTAAATATCTAAAAGTTTCATATAATTTATTTTATGATTTCTTCAAGAAACATTGATAAAAAGATTACAAGTCATTTCTGAGAAAAATTAAAAATAAGACTAAATCTCAAATAAAATCATATTTTATTTATGATATTTTCTTTTGTGTACGTCATTTCAATATGTTCGAATCTATCACACATATTCAAATTTGACAGTAGAATTAAATTATTCAAGAGTTTTTAAAAAATAAAAGTTACCCATCTAAGTAATCTTTTATATTTACGCGGCAGGACGTAGCATCTTCACAGAGTCGTCAAACCGTACTGGTCTCTGTGAACATGGTATAGGCAATTCTTATTTTATATTTTGATACTAATCAAATGAACGTAAATCTAAATAGATCAGAAGACTTAGGACATTTTTTTAATCATTTCCAATCGAAACGATAGACTCATCATTAAGAAAGATGCAATTAATAATTAATGAAATATTATCTAGTATATTGCTTTTTCTCAGTGGCATAACCAGACAAGAACTAGAGAGGCTAGGTCTCCCTAGAAGTCTTTAGATCTCTTCCATTACAAACGATTAAATTTCTCCTAGAAAGAGTCTCCATTCCGTGTGCAAATTTGACCAGAGACTAGAGTCTGTTGAATCCAAAGTTTTTCGACCTGGTCAAGCTCGGGATTAACCAGAGGATTTCTATTAGAGAGACTGAACTTTCCTCTCCCATGCAACTTTTTTCCAATTACGCCACTAGTTTATCAAAATTGCGTCCACTACTTTAAGCTACTACAAGAAGAAAAAAACTAATCTGAATAATGTACAAAAAAAAAAATGCTGAACAATCTTGAAAATAATATAAAAGTTATTCACATGTGCATAAGTTCGAAGTATATTGTATAGAATGAACTCTTCATATAACTGAATCAAGCTGATATATTTTAATTTTTGTTTCATTTTTTTTGTAGACTGAAGGTGAAGGCGAAGATGCCGTAGTAATAGGTGTTGAACCAGCAGGGACGATTTGTCAAATACTATGTACTGTTGGTCGTTTATTTGTGTTAGCAGGAGCGATATGGAAAGGCAAATCTGAATTTAGAGAGATAAAGACTATAGGCATACGAAAATATTTTCAAACAGCGGTAAAAATTAATTTATATATATATGTATATATAGATATATATTCTATTATTTTTAAATATAGGGTTCTGGTTTTCTTGAAAATTGCTTAGCATGCCTATTTTGTACAACTATTTATATAGTTAATATTCTTCGAATATTCGATATGGATGCTGAATTACCAGCCTTAGCAATAGCATCATTACTTGGTTGGGGTTATATGCTTTTTTTTGTTATGGCATTTCGATTGACTGGTCCATTTGTTGTGATGATATATGAAATGCTTTTTAATGATGTTCTTCGATTTTGCATTATTTATGTAGTATTTCTTGTAGGATTTTCACAAACATTTTTCATCTTATTTAATTATAATGGTAAGAAGAAAACAGATAAAAGAAAATATTAAGAAGAAATTTTATTGTATTTTTTTTTCTCGTATTTTAGGTTTTTCTGGTTTTGTTCTTAGTGTTAAACAAAGTTTTTTAGGCATGTTAGGAGATTTTGATCTTGATGCTTATACAAGTACAAAATATGCTTATATAAGTGTAATAATTCTTATTATTTATATAATTGTTGTAACAATTTTATTACTTAATTTACTTGTTGCTATGATGGGTGATACATATGGAAATATAATTGAAGGTGCAACACAAGTATGGTTAGTAAAAAGAAATTATTATTATTTTATTTTTTTTTTTCGTGTAAGATTTTGAATTTTTTTTTTCTTTTCTTTTTAATCAATAGGCATTTAGAACGAGCACGTATTGTATTTGCAATTGAAAGTGAAATGGACAATGAACAACGAATTTTACCAAGAAATAAATATTGGACTAATGTTGATGGTGAACGATATTTACAAGTCGAAGAAGTTAATGAAAAAGATTTTCTTGCACAAAATAATGCTGATGAAGCTGATGCTAGTGATGAAAAAGAACACTTGAGAAAAAAATCTAGTGAAAATGCAACTGAATTTTAAGAAACTTTTGCTTTTTTTTCTTCTTATTTTTCAGCCCAGAGATAAATTGAATACGAAATTATTGTATTAAGTTAGAGAAAAGTATGATAATCGGAAATTTTTAATATTTTTTTAATTAGAAAGCATAATCACTGCTGGTTTTAGAAAGTTTTGCTTATTAATCGAAAAGAATTTTTTTATAATTAATAAATGATTAATTTGCTAAAATCTTGTTCGACAGTAAAATAATCTTTTTTTTTCAAAGTTTTTATTTGAATCCTACAAAGATTGTGTTCAAAGCTGTGATTAATTTGTTCATGGATGAAAAATGAAGTTGCTGTTGGTTTAAGAAATAAACAAAAAGACTTTATGATTTAAAGGTTGTAATTCTGAGAGAAGCTACTCGAATTTATTCTTTTTCTTTTTGATCCGATGGATTTAACTATACCAAAAGAGAACTATAATCACATGGATCAGTCCTTTTCCTCAGTTAAATATCTGTGCTCAATCTAATCCCTTCCGTGTAAAGTATCTTCCTGTTTCATCGACAGAAGTCTTGTTTCTCATTTCATCAACAAGATTATTTTCCTTTTCCTTCGACAAAACTTTTTTTTCTCGTTTCATCGACATTTTAAGTACAACAAGATTATATGAAGAAAAAGAAATAATAACTTATTAAAACAAAAATTTTTTAACAACACAAACAAGAGAGATGAGAACATATTTCAATAATTCATCAACCAATGAAAAAAAAAATACCATTATTTTGTACTAATTGTATTACACATCTTGACGAAATACTCTTCTAATGATAAAGCACTTTTTCCATAACGAATCATTAAGTCCATAATACGTTGATTCCGAAAAATAAATTGTTTTTTTCGTGGTGGTTTGTTTGTGTTGTTCTCAAGTTGTTTCAGAGTAGCCATGTTAAAAGCATAATCTTCTTTTAATTCTTCAATAACAACATATGACTATTCTTACGTACAAAGACAAGTAATATGTATCAGTCGAAACTGTTCTAGGTGTTATCACCGTCCATTGTTGTGGCGAGTACCTCGATGTTCTCTATTCTCCCTTTTTCTGTTTGTTTATCTGATATCTCCTATACCATGATTTCACTTTTAATTGTTTCGTACTTTGATCTTGATTAACCCCGACATTTTCTTCTATGTTTGTCTTTATTTTCGTGCTCTCTTCCAGCGCATGCCTGCTCCAGAATATTTATAGCATTGTTCATAAAAAAATTGTCGACGAAACAGGAAAAATATTGCGTCGATGAAATGAGAAAAACATTCATGTCGATGAAAAAGGAAAAAAATCTTGTTGATGAAAACGGATAATAGAATCTTGTCGAAGAAACAAGAAAATTAATTAATTAGTCTTAATTTTTCGATGAAACAGGCCTGAACCTCGTGTAATAATAAAATGCATAACGAAATTTATAGAAAAATTCTAAAAGATTCGGAAAAATAAATCCTAGAAGCTGCTGTTCTCTTCATATCGTCTAACACATAAAATAATGTTTTTATATCATATCTAAAAAAAACTAATTCTATCAAATTCTCATTTTTTTTTGGAACTAAATGCATTCCTATTCGTTTCTATGATTATTTCCAATTAAATTAAAACAGTCAATCTATCATTACGATTTTTTATGTTTTGTGAATTGCGATTATTTTGCGATGAAGAAAAAGAATGAATAATTTCTTATTTCAATCTGAAGTTGAAACGTAAAGAGCATCAGGTGAAATATTACTTTATGCAGCGTAAACAAAGGAAAAAATTCTTTGGGTATTCGCCTCGCATCTCCATTGAAATCAGCAAGCTTCTTTTTGTGGCATCATCATATCAAATATGAGTCAAAGGTGTTTTTTACCATGAGAAAATGATTATGATGAATAATAAAATAATTTGTTTGATTTTCAGGTTCTTAGTCAATCAATCAAATTCAGATGAAATCAAACTTAATTCAACAGTATTAGTAATACGATAAAAAATATATATTGGAGAATATCAAATGATATTTGAATAAAAAAAAACAAGATTAAACCTTCAAAGTTAAATAAATATAGAGAAAGATGATTAATGATAATTTCCCACGCTGTAGTCAAGGACAAAACACGATGAATAAGAAAATACGTGGTTTTCTTATCGTTTCTGTTTTTTCATATAAAGGTAATGGTATAATAATGGAAAGGATCATTTTATGTGACAGCAAGGTATATGAATATACGTGGATATTTTTTAGATTACGATAGTTTGTATTTCACAGAACTATAATGGATATTACTACGGATAGAAATAATACATCCATAAATACAAATAAATGGCGATGTCAATATTGTACATGTCTCAATCCAGTTTCAGTGCATCCTCTATGTGCAACATGTTATAAATTGGATTCTTCATCAGCTAAGCATAAAAACATTAATAATTCATCGGTAAAATGATTGTTGTTTAAAAATAAAGCATTAATTTGTTTTATTTTATTAAGAATCTCATTAATACAGATAAATCATCATCAACAACATCGATTTCACTTAGTGTTTGTCATCGAAGATATAATGATGAAATTAATGCTGAAAAACTGTTTCGTCATATTAAATCATATTGTCGAAAAGTAATAATTCTAATCTTTATTTTATTTTAGTATTTTGATATTAATTTTTCTATAGGCTCGAATAGATTTTGTTGATGATCAATTTCCTCCATCCTCTCGTTCTATTGGTAATATTGATCATTCATTTCAATGGTTAAGAATATCTGACATAACTTCATCATTACCAGAAGATCGTCTTTTCGAATGGACTGTTTATTCATCACCAGAACCAAGTGATATTCAACAAGGTGCACTGGGTGATTGTTGGCTGTTGGCTGCATTAGCTTTAGTTACTGAACGACCAAAAATGCTTGACCATATTGTATTAACTAAAGAAGTTAATACACAAGGTGTTTATCTCATACGTTTATGCTATCATGGTTTATGGAAAACAATTGTAATTGATGATTGTTTTCCATGTACAAGACACAATCAATTAGCATATTCAAAAGCAAATCGTCGTCAATTATATGTTCCATTAATTGAAAAAGCATGTGCAAAACTATTTGGTTCATATGCAGATTTAATTGCTGGAAAAACCGAAGAAGGTCTACAATTATTAACAGGTGCTCCATCTGATTATATTAATCTTAATCCACATGATGATATACTTGATAGTAATATTGCTTGGGCAAAACTTTTATCTGCTTGTGAAGCTCAGTAAGTTAAGTTTTTCTCCGACAAATCTTTTATTATTTAAAAAACTATTTTAGTTTATTAATCGGTGCAGAAACTGGTCGTACAGATGTAAATGCAGAAGAATATAACCGCGTACATATTCAGAGTCATCATGCATTTTCCATACTTGCTGCATGTTCTATACCAAAAATCTCTATGCAATTTGTACTTGTTCGAGATCCACATGCTCAGATAAATTATAGAGAAAAAATAATAACATCATCTATTATTGCTCAATTGAATTCTATGATTTCATTTTGTTTACCATCTGGTGCTTTTTGGATTTCATGGCCTGTATTTCTTCAATTTTTTAATTCTATTACAATATCATCATATGCTAGTGATTATTATGATATACGTGAAGTAGCTAAATTTACTCAATCATCAACAGAACCAATTCCAACATTTCATTTTCATGTACCCAAGTAAGATTTTTTTATTAATATTCTATTGAAAAGAAAAAGATTGAATGTAGATTTAATAAAATTTGATAGAGTTTGCATATAACAACGAAACGTAATACTTAACTATTTGCATGCAGTTATAAGCGGCTTTGATCGAATGAAATTTTCAAATAAAAGTGCACCTGATTCTTCATAATCCTGCATACATTCAATTCAGTTATATCGTAAGATATTTAAAATTTCATGATACATCCTCTTAGATCTGTCATATATTATCGTGTAAAATAAATTTATTTTCGAAATTAAAAAAAAAAAAATTGCTCTATTAAACAGAGTGACGGTAAATATTTTATAGATCGATCATCATGTATCATCGTTAGTTTCTATAAACGACAGTTTTCAAATCATCCAATGTCTTTATCACACGTGCAGTATTCTCACTGTAAACATATCATAATGTTTTCAAATTCTATCATAACGATTGCTATAATTACTTTTGTCGTAAATCAATGTTAAATTATTTGTAATGTCAGGATTTTTTTCCTACTCATTTATTTAAATATGAATAAAAAATAATTTCTTATATGTATTTATTAACGATATATGATTTCAGATGATTCTCTTGTTCTCCAATGACCATGCTTTATATCGTTAATATTTACATTAAATGTATTACAGAAATTTTATTTATTGTTTTTGTCTTTTAGAACATCAATAGTTGATATTAGTTTACTTTATCATCGTGAAACACGTCAATCTATTATTCATCATACACAATCATTTGTTTTATGTAATGTTGACGATGGACGATCCGGAGATCTTGGTACACAGGTGGCTATATTAGAAACAACTCGTGGAGCATTTACACGTTGGACTGGTTCATTAAGTCCTGGTAATTATGTACTGGTTCCATTTTCTACTAGTTTTTGGAATGAAAAAATTAGTGAATCTATAAGAGATTATACACTTGTTATATATTCGACAATTCAAATTAATGCATATGTTGTAAATGAACCAGCAACAGTTTTAGCTGATTGTTTAATTGCAAGTGTTCCAAAAGAAAAATTTTATAAATCTAACGTGAGTTAATCATATATCCGAAAATTTATTGTTTTTTTTTTTTAAATTTTCTTTTAGCACAAAGATTTCAAGTATTATGCAACCTCAGGAAAATCTAAATTTGTGATGTTTATTGCAGAAAATTTATCATTTTCTAATTATTTAAATATAGATATTGATATGAATGATTCAACATATATACGTAATTCTCGTCAATCATATATAACTCATGATTGTATTCCACCACGTCAAAGACAAATTATATTTCTTACTGAATGGACTAATGAACACGATCAAACAGCTAAGATGAATTATGTATATGAAACCTCATTTATAAAACAATCAAATGATTCAGTACCAGAAATTAATATTGATGAAAATGATTTTCATTCATTTCGAAACTTTTAATTTAAAAGCAAACAAAAAACACTATTCTACATTTTAGGTAAACTAATTTGTTGTATCAATAGTTTCTTTATTTGAAAAAAAAACATATCGAGTTATAAATAATCAATAAATAAATATAAATAGATTTCGTTATTTAATTAAATTTACGTTTTACTATGCAATTTTAATAAAAACTTTATAAATACATAGGGTATACTAAAAGTAGAAGTGAGAACATTTCAGGATGAGTGTGAATCTTTTCTTGTTCCACGTCTATCGTTTATTGCTTCTTTTCACGTAAGAATTTTCAGAATTTGATGCGTAAAGTTCATCATAATTAACGTGGTGTCGATACTCATTTCAGTATTGCACATATAAATATTATATTTATTATGTAAGTCTTTCTCCATATAAGATATACGTGAAAGGCAGAAAAATTCATAAAATTATATAGGAAAAGCATCTATATAGAATTCAGTAAATTTTTCTGAATATCAAATGATGCTTAGCAAATTATAATTATTATAGTTCAAATCGCGTAGAGTGTTTTCAGTCAAAAACATTTCAAAAATCACATTAGAGGAAATCTTCTATGCCATCTAATATATCTCCAAAGTTAGCGCCCACAATGTCTCCTACAGCAGAAAAGGCTCCTACGAGATTTATTTCAAGAATCCTTCCATGAGGGTCAAGCATTCCTGGTATGTCACACAGTATGCCCGTTCACTTATTCCTGGTACGACTTGCAACATGTTTTCGTAGCCACCGCCCATCCTCTCAAAACGAGGTTTGGCAGCTCGCCTAGCCATAGCAACTAAACCTAATACAATTATGCGATCGGGACCATGTGCAACTATATTGCCTCGGTCACATGCAGCTTAACTATGATAACCACGAGAGTCATTATGATTATGACGACCATGACGATTATACCTATCGTGATGAGCAAGACTAACATTGGTTCTTGAAGATTCGAGAAGTGAAAATATTCAATTAACAATATTACTACGCATTTCAGTGTGGTTTAAACAGTTCAAAGTCATGTGGTCCATGTGAAAACACATATTTCTGGATTTCTTTTTTGTTATCTGCAATTGATACATAAACGTAAATAATTCGTTTATATAGATTATCAATCTTTATATAATATTAAACTAGACTCTTTGAATGAATTTATCCTAGGTATCAGCGTATAAGAAAAATCTCAACATAAGTATTTTTCCCTAAAGTCAGCCACGCACGTCAATATCTCGACATAAAAGTACAATTGAAAACGTTAAGTTTTGTTTCGGACTGAATCCATAGTATTGCAAAATTACTATTATTTGGTGCAAACAATTGTTCGAATCAGTATTCCAACAGCTCTTTTCACCTATACATGGAATTAAAACCAAAGATAACTATATATAGCAAACAAGAAAAGTAGAAATGCATTTTAGAGATTCAAATAGACAGTAGGAAAATTTCACTGTGCTTACGTTGTTTACTTAAAGGCACACATGTCATGATTTTCATCTTGACTCTCTTTTCGTTATAATCACTCAAGTTTTGAAGTCACAGTATTTAGAAGACTAACTGAAACTGTAGCATAGCAGTCGATTCCATAGCTTTGCAAAAATATTTGATGTGGCTTTCCAATGACGTTTTTGTAGGATGCCTTCGAAAGCCTTTAATTTCACAAAACTTGGTTGGATATAACAAACCGTGTGACTGCTTTTCAAGCTATATGCCATAGAGAGAAAATGTCGTAGATAATTGACATTTGAAAAGTCTACAATTACAATAGTTAAACGTTGTGTTTTTTTGTGACGAGATTTATAAACCTCTAGTCACGTTTTGATGATTGTGAAAAAAATAATTTACAAGAAGAGATAGATAATTTCACATTGTTAAAACTTCCATTTTTATAACTTAACTTAGAAAACAAAATTTCAGTAGTGGTATACTAAAATCAATGCATGTATTTTTGAAAACAAAAAATATGTGCCAAAGCACAGATTGCTAATCGAATAGAATTTCAGGCTAATGTAAATCGTTGAATCAATTTCTCGAACACTGAGTTATTTACTGATGAACAAATGAATGAATGAAAAAGTAGGTGTATGGATAGTTTGTCGCTTTAAGAACATCTTCCTATTTTTACCTGCCATCGTTATAGTTTGAGTTTCATGATGATTCCTACGATTTAAGTCATATTGCTGTTGTGGATGATTATGTCGAACAGCATCAAAATTAGAGGAGTGCGAAGCTTTGTACAAGTGTGTACTGTCGCTCAGAAAATATTGATGGCTCATAACAAAATATGATCGTGTAGACTCCAACAGATAATTACCGTGTAATGCATCTCTTGATTGACCATGGTGAACTACATGGTGTTTACTAGTCATTTGCATTGCAAAACTTTATCAATAAGTGAAGTGCGTAAAAACTGTATGTCTCAATGACTGCTTGTATATACACATATATCCAATGTTTATGAATATATATCAAGTAATGTTGTTTTCACGATTTTTTACCTCACACGAATCAAAATAGACTATATAATATGACAGCAGGTAACAAAAAGCGATGCATAAGACAATTGAAAACATTAAAATCATGACACATTCAAGTGACAAGAGAGGAAACGTCAAGCATAGTTGTGTCACAACATTCTGCTTTTTTGCTGATCAATATGGTCTCTCTTATATGCGTAACATGTGTATTTTGTCCATCGAGAAAACAAAATATTTTCTGCAAGTATTTTACAAGAATGAGAACGTATAGGAACAAGATTAACGAAAGAAAGAGAGTAGGAAACTTTTGTTTAATTGTATCAATGCTTTGAAAAGGATACCTGAATAAATCAGCAGCTTGCATTCAAAATCTAATCACATACATTTATCCATGTTTAAGATATATTATACTATTTAAATATGGGTAAGAATGATCTTAATGCTCATACATTTTCTCTATCATCTTCTTCATAAAACAATAGAAATAACCAAAGCAATCAAATTCATCTATATGCTGATAAATGTGATTCAGTATTCGAACAAATATTTGAGTCAAACATAAGCTGAGAGTTTTTTATGCCTGTGTCATGCTAATTTTGTTTTATGAAGGTGAAACTTAGATACTATATACGTCCAGTTTATTTTTTCATATTTAATAGCCAGGTTTCGTCAATTACGTTGTTTTCAATTGACATTAATTAACCTAAAATAGTGTGTCGTATAATTTTCACTCGTTTCTTTATTTTCGTTTTATTCCTCCTCTGGTTTTCTTGTTAATCATAGGACTGAAGTAGAAAACACAAAGTCAATTTCTATCAGTGTCATCATTTTGCTATCCTACTATGGCAATCAACAACATGAACCGAAAAAGAAAAAACAAATACTTACTTTGTTTGTAAAAAATATCACATAGTGTATTTTACATGATGCAGTGTATGATGAAGACAATATTGTTAATGTAATGTCACTAGCAGAGACCGAAATCGAATAGAACAATCAAATCGGAACCGTTTGATCTAATTTGGATACTAAACGATCCCTAGAATTTGTTTCAAGCAAAATTTATTTTGATGCTTAGCAGCACATGAAACCAAAAGACATTCTTTCTTGAACACGGAATTAGCCTAATAAAAATAAAAGATAGTTAAGATGTCACCTATAAAGAACATCCAGGTAAAACTCGCATTTTTTGTCTTCCATCCTTCCTTCCATCTCCTAGACGTCCAGTATTGAAAAAATTTAGAAGGAGCTTGCCTACTCAAATATATTGCTTCTTTTTTTTTTTTGATAAAATAAAAGTTCATTAAATAAATATATCAAAAATAAAAATGAATATATGCATATCAAGAAAATGAGCTTCCCAAGCGGAGAGTAACACCTCCTCCTCAATCTTAGTATCTTCGAAACTCTTCTGCTAGAAAAACAAAGACAAAACACACATTTCATAAACAACAAACAAATATATGATCTATTGCAAACTTGTCTTTTTTTTAAAACTCATTCAATTTTAATCAGTAGTATATAGTAGAATCAGAAAATGAATTTCAATACTAATAGCACTCGAAATCTAGCAGCTTTCATATTACTGCTAGGGAAAGTAACTATCTGCTCATGTACCATAATCAACGCTATATTCATATTCAACTGATACGTTCAGTTCATTTTCTATTCATAAATGCTCTTCAAAATTTAGCGGAAAGTTGCGTGAAGAAAATATTCATAGTAAGTGTCTGAACTTCCAGAAGTCTTTGATCTCCGCTTACTTGGACATTCTTTATGGATAACTCGTAATTGAATCTACATTGTAGTTTGTTACCAATCAAGGATATACATGTTTAAATAACTAGGATGTGGGTAACGATGACAAATGAGCTCTCATTTCAATCGAACCTTTAACTGGAAGCTTTGATCGATTCTATGTAAAACAATGTAAACACTATACATGATCTGATATCCTTCAAATAAATATCGAAATATAACTGTGTACAACATGCTCAAGATTTTGAATTGTGGCACCAACAAACTACAAACTTATATGATCGATTCAATGATATTTAAATCATAGCGCAACAATGATTAGTGAGACATTCTTTTTTCTTTGCCAATAATAAATGAAATTACAATGAATCAATTATATAATAAAATAATTTTTTCTGAGTAACACTATTCATGTTTTACTAGAATAATATTTGATAGTGAAAAAAATGTTTGACTACAACTATTTATATCCAAGATCAATTTTTCAAGGACAAAAAGTCAGACACATTTTCAATAGGATTAATATAACTGATACTGATAATTACATCAGTCGTGACGATCTCTAATCGTAAGCATATAAAAAGAAAAAGAGAATTGATCTTATTAAATGGCTTCTTGATGTTCAAGTCAAAATGTAGATATTATATGAGATTATACAAGATAGAAGACTCATTACTGTCATTGAATTGTTTTACAAATGAGAAAAAAAAACATATGCCTCCTACGCATTCATTTTGCAACAAAAAAAAAGAAACCCGAGAAGAAAAATATGTTGCGTTAATTCAATCCTATATAAACTATTTCATCAAACTCATTTGTTTTGTTATTAAAAGAAGAATTCATAGAAAGCATAAACTAAATAGTATAACAATGTCGTACAAATCATCTTATTTTCGATGTCTTGAAGTAAGTAGAAAAATTAAAAGTAAGTTATAACAAAACAAAAGAAAACTAAATTCTAATTCATTTAGCATCGATTATCAATATTACATGAAGATATGGATGATCAAGAAGCCGTTAATGTTGTTAATCATGAAATACCACCAGAAAAATTAAAATCACTTGTTCAACAAGGACATACAACATCATTTATATTTTCAATTAAAAATCGAGTCGGTGGTTTGGCAAGAGCTCTTAAAGTTTTTCAGGTATATTTTCTCACTCAACGCTTCAGATACATATATATATAAATATGATAGTCGCAAAAAGTCCCGCGATCAGGTAAAAAGTACCTTAACTTTATTCTTTAGCCTCATAGTGTGACTACAATTAGAGCATGTTAAACTGCGATCATAAGAATTTGATCGGCGTTGAAACGGAGCAACTAGAGAAGGTCAACATAGAAAAAAAAAAATCTTATAATGTTAGACTTTCATCTAACAGTTCACGAAAATATTTTGTTAAGACTAGAAAAAGCTTTAGAGAGTTCTTGTCTATGAGCGTCTAGAATCGAGTTATGATCATTTTACTGAATTTTCAACTCAATTTTAGATATTGATCGAAAAATTAAATAACGGAGTTTCGATCTGAAATTAGGCCCATAAATAGATTGAATGACCAGTAGAATATTCTGAAAGATTCAGCCGAAAAGAATGTTCCTTTATCGAGATATTTAATTTTCAGAAAATAATCATTTGCTAGAGAAATTTCATATCTCAATAAAGGAATATTCTTTTCGATTGAAACTTTCCGAAAATATACTAAGAGTCATTAAATTTATCTATAGATGAAATTTTAGGTTGAAATTCGTTTTTTTGGTGCATACTTAAAATTCGATCGAAAATTTAGTAAAACGGCCATAACTCAGCTCCATAAAGCCCAAAGGGATGAATTGTATTATTTTCTTTGCCGTAGGTACTATATAGAAAAGTGCTCATTTTGTCATCAAACGATATATGAATACAGTTAAAACCTTTTTATTGTGAACACCATTCAGACTATTCAGAATTGTTCAATTTAGAGAGTTGACGCATGATTTGCTGTGCAATATAGAAAATGTTCCAAAAAATCCATTTCTGTATTAGTTATAGATAAAGGTCTGGTTATTTATTCTTTTGTTCATCTCTATCGATCTGAATAATTTGAATTGAAAGATTTTTCAAGTAATTTTATTGTTTTTGAACTAATTCTTTTTGTACCTTTTTGTATAAACTATTAGTACACGTAATCGTCTAGTTTTTGAGCATTGACATCTTTTTATTTTCGTCTAACGCTTTCATTCTGATTTGTTTCATAATCATTTAAATATTCTGTTTTATATTATAAAATATCTTATACAGAACTGAGTGAGATACTGTCATTTTCAATCAATTAACGTTGTGATAAACCATTAATCTTTATTATCATAAATTAATAGTATTTTGTCTTGCAAAGTAAGGTTGTATCATAACCTCATTCTTTACTTTACACATGTATTAGTCAAATGATATATACAAGATGTTTGTAGCGCATACGAAATAGCTGACAGAAAAGAGAAAGAATTCAAAAAAATATGTTCATTATACAGAGTAAGGAGATGTTCACATAGGAAAGAGGCATTTACAATAAAAATTGCTTCGTCGGAACCAAGACCATTAGTATTTCGAACGTGTTCGTTAGTAGAGGTTTTACAATAGTGCAAAAAAAAAAATATCTGAATATGAATGAATTAATTTCACTAGTTAATTTTCATTTTCGATATGATTCTTCAGATGTGTGAAGTTTAGGTGCAGAGAAGACCCCCATTCACACTCATATCATGTTAAAAGGTAATCAGGAACTAATGCAAAATTCTTTTTCAATAAATTGATACATAATTATATTACGAAACTTGAAAAGAAGTCAAATTAATGACCTGAATTGTCGATCTCTCTGTCCAACGAAATTATTTTTACTTATAAATTGTATTGAATACTCGAAAATGCCTTTAGATTATTTATAGGAAAATATCAGGGTTAAGTAGTATATGGTTTGAGAAATTCATTGAAAATAAGCATCCATAATTGAAACATTTAGAGAAACAATAGCAAGAAAACAAGGCTCATCCATGTTACCATATCTTTTTTGTGATTAATGTCCATGATAATCATACAAAAAATATAATAAACTTCTTGATAGATTTATAAATAAGTTTCGAGAAACACTCTTATTAAGAAGAAAACTTTTTTCTGCAATAGAGGATTTCGGATCTTAACAAGGAAAACGATTTCGATGATTTAGAAAGAGATTTTTAGAATTTTGAAAGTTCAAACATANACATAGGAAAAACGATCCTAACTTATTTGAGTGTATCGATGAAGCTATAGTGTTTACTGATTTTTTGGCTGAAGGGAAAAAGAGCTAACTATTGATTATTGTATTTGTGTACTTTTGTGTATGTATAATCTATTTATAAAAGAACTTTCAATATTCATCATGTTCAGTAGAGTAACTTTATCAAATACTAACGGCAATTATTTTTGCACTCCACTGTATATACATCTGTTCAATTCGAAAAACCCTTGAATATGAAATACAATAAGAAAAACAAACTCCAGTAGTAGGAAAAAAATTATATAAAAAAAGACAAAATGATATTATTGTTATAGGATACTTTCATAGGCAGTCACCCATAAAAAGCTCAAAGTATTCAGAAAACTTATCATTTTAACAGACTTTGTAGAGCTTTTTTCGCTGATCATTTTGATAAAAAAATATTTTGAATTTCATTGAGAAATGACGATTTTATAATCAAAATATTAAACACTGTGGAATACCCGGTGTTCCAAAAATGTTTCCAACATAGTTTGTTTTGCGAATATCTCTGCAAAGACAAATGATAAAACCTTGGTTTTTATTTCAAAAGTTGCGCCGTGAAAAACTCTACAAAATCTGTAAGAACAAACCCTATTGACTTCTTTTAATGGTTTCTTCTTATACTCAAAATGAAAAAATAATCCATGATAGTGCTACTTCCCACCGTATTTAACATAATAAAAATGTTTGGAAGACTGTTATATTTTGCATGTATCTCGGCTTAAGAAAATGGTAGCATCTTGATTTGTTTTTCAAAAGATGCACCGTCGAAAGTTCTACAAAAGCCGTATAAAGAAATTCCTATTGCACAGCAAAAAGCCTTCCAAACATTTTTATTATCATTTTGTCTTTTTTTATATAATTTTTTTCGTAGTACTGAAGTTTGTTTTTCTTATTGTATTTCATATTCAAGGGTTTTTCGAATTGAACAGATGTATATATATAGTACTCGATCTCTGCTATCCAAGCATATAATTGAATTGAATTAATGTTGTGTAGTTTAAATACACGACTCAAAACAAAAAAGTAGTGCGAGACTGTGGACGTCCACTGTAGTAGATTGACAACGTGGTGATGAAAATTAGATGATCTATGATATGACGTAAATTTTTGTGTCTATGAGGGGGGGCGAGGGGTTTACAAGCGTTCCTTTTGTGAATGGTAATCATGGAAGGATGAGATACGAATGAAATGTGGACGCATACGCATATATGTATGTGACGGCCGTCCTATATGAACAGAATGGAAAAAAATTCATTTTTATCGTGGAAAGCATTTTTCCGCTGAAAGTTAGCATTTATCTCACCGATCGATTTGTTGTCCACTGCTGACAAAAATATCTCGTACTATTGAAGCATATCCTTATGCGCCACCTGTTTTAAAATTCTATCCTGGTAATCTAACTAAGGCTTCAGAAGTGCAATTTATAATTAAGAAATGACTCAATAATGGTATTATAAATGAATTTCAATCAGCTTATGCAGCTCCCGCATTATTAGCAAAGAAAAAGATCATAGTTAGAGAGTAGTCATTGATTATAAAAAACTAAATTCAATGATAATCAAAGATGATTATCCTCTCCTGCACATGGAAATTACTCTTCAAACATTATATGCAGGTTATCCTTTCTTTTCCAAAGTTGATTTGAAGTCCAGTTTTGGGCAATTATTCATTGATGAAAAAGATCGTTTTGAAACAGCTTTTATCGTCTCTTTTGGTTTGTATGAATGAAATATTATTCCTGAAGGTCTTCGTAGGACTCCTCCAACTTTTCAATGTATCATAAATAACATATTATTATCATGTACTAATTTTTTCATTTATCATCTTTTCCGCTATAATGCTTTCTGTGTGTGAAGTCATGTGTATAGGAGTATAGAAAATTGTTAAAGATTTATGAATCATCCTCACACATCTTATATGTGATAGAAATTCTTTTTTTGTTTTGTATCTATTTTTCTGATCTTATGTATGTTGTATTTTGACTTTTCTGTTTTTTCTTTTTGATTTCTTTATTCGATTGGAAATAGACAAAAAACAGATAATGAGAAATTATTCGTATTAAAGATGTGTATATCATAATAATGAGATAGACTATATCAGATTGTGTTAGAATAAAAAAGAAGTCATTACTGTCATTGAACTGCCTAACAAACGAGAAACACTATTCTACCCACGCATTTCTATTATGAAAAGAAGCCCGAGAAGAAACTAAATTGCGTATTGTTATATACATATAAATATGTTTGTGCCAAATAATTTTTCTCATTCAATATCAAAATAAAATCGAATTCATAGTTAACAATACACACAAAACAAAACAAAACAGCTTTCATCGATGTCTTATAAATCATCGTATTTTCGATGTCTTGAAGTAAGTAAAAAAAACATTTAAGAAAATAAATCATACATAAATGGAAAAAAAACAATTTCTACAGCACAGATTATCAACATTACATGAAGATACGGATGATCAAGAAGCGGTAAATGTTATTAATAATGAAATATCTCAAGAGCAATTAAAATCACTTTTTCAACAAGGAAATACAACATCATTTATTTTTTCAATTAAAAATCGTATTGGTGGTTTAGCACGAGTTCTCAAAGTTTTTCAGGTAAAATATTCATTAGACAAAAGAGATTCATATTAGAATATTCAATAATTTGTATCGAACAAAAGATATATTAAGAAATAAATAATATTTTATATAGAAAAAGTAACTGTCACGCAGAATCATTCTCTTCGACATTTATTGACTGTGGTTATCGTCTTTATCAATGATGATTTGAAAAAGTAATTTCAATGAAACATCTGGCACATATTAGTTCCCTACTATTGGTTAAAATAGAAAAATGTTTTCTCTTATAAAAGATAATGGGGAAAGGTCAGGTCGCACTATCTATGAGAAAGAATCGAAACTATGATAGTGAGCTAGACGACTTCACTATTCGTTGAAATCAGCTTGAAAGAGTTCACCCTAAATTCGATTCGAATCGTTTTTCTTTTCGTTTCCGTTCCATACGATGATTTCTCAGTTTGGTCCTAATATTACCACCTGAAATGTTTCATAATTATATTTAGTATAGACAAGAACTTGCATAATATAAAATAACAAGAAAAATACAAAAGTTATCAGCATTTATAAAACATAGACATTATATATATATAATGCAAAAAACTGAAGTTATTTGTTTTTACGACTTTATCGCATTGAATTGCTGATAACTAACTTTGACAACTAAGTACAAGTACATTACGACAGATATTTATGGATCGCATATTACTTGTCATTCGTTTTTCGTATTCGATATGTATGTCTTAACAATAATCGCTGACACGTCCTTTGGTTTAAGTCGAATTATTAGATGAATTCTGCTCAGCTGATGACCCTTGGCAAATGAATTGGGTAGTTTTTTACTTTAAATACAACCTTCACCCATATCCTCAGTACTCTGTCTGTGTGAATTACACCAGTCAGTGCAACGACTGTAATTAAAGTCAAAAAAAAGTACCATGATTTCTTGAGAGTAATAATCATGAAAATCAATGAAGGCTTATCATTTCTTTTTAGTTTGAGGAATCATGACCACACCGAAAAGAGACCGTTATCTAGATATGAAATCCAGTACCTGTATTCACCGTTTTTCAGAATGTGTGAACATGAATGAAATAGAACTTATCACATACACAATGCATCTTAAAATAAGCTATGATTGATTATAATTCTACTAGTTTATCTATGAATAATTTATATTCAACATTGAATATTTTAAGATGATAGTTAAAAATTTAATAATATAGATTTTTTTTTCTTCTTCTGAAAAGGAACATAGCATAAATGTCGTTCATATTGAATCTCGTCGTTCTCATCGTACAAATTCTGAATATGAAATTTATGTTGATTTGGAAGCTGATAAAGCTAATGTTGAACAATCAATGAAAGAATTAAAAAGACAAGTTTCATGTGTTGAATTTGATCCAAGTATTCTTTTTGAACCAAAAGAAAATTTTAATAATAAAAATGCAAATCATAATACAAAGCATCATACAATTACAAATGGAAATTATGATTTAAATTTTTTACCCTTATCGCCTTTTCTTGATCAAAATGAACAAACAATAGAACGTCAAAGTAAATGATATGAAAAAATATAAAATGAAACTAATAAAAATATTAGAGTGCAAATGAAAAGAGGCATCAGTTGCAATAAGTTTATTGTATTTTGGTACATTCAATGTGTCCCCATCTTTTTTTCTTCTAAGTCCATAGTCCAAGTCATAGTCATCAGCTATACGTACTTTAAATGCAAACGGTTTATCAGAAAACAAAAACGAGTATTGACATTATTAAATAGTTTATTTCTATTATGATTAATTATTATAATCATATTAGAAAAATAAGCAAATAAAATTATTAATTTAAGATTAAGATTAATAAATATTCTGTAAATCAAACTCAACGAATTATTGCTCAAAAGTACTTATATATTTTAATGCAAAACAGCTGTGACATTATACTTTATGGGTTCTTTTTTTTCATAAAAAGTAATCACGCCGCAAACGGATGTAAGAGTTATGATCAGCTCTATGCTCTAGTTATTACTTTTACTCTGGTTATGAATTAGTATTCATTAGAAAAAGCGTGATCGATATGTGATATTCAGCTTTTTTTGTTTCCTCGAAGTACTTAAGAGGATCATTCACACTCTACTTTTTTTGCTCTATAATAAAGCGTGAATATAAATTACGTTAAAAAAAAATAATTTTTCATTCACATAAAACAATTTATTGCAAATTAAACAGCATATGTGAAATATGTTTCAAGAAACTTATTTATCAAATTCATTGGATTTATCATCGTCAAATTTAAAAAATGCTTTGGATCATCATTTATATATTTCATTAAGTCATGATTCATCATTATCAGTTCTTTGTTATGATAGTGTATTATGTTATTTATCAAATGTTATTCATCATGGTTCAATGAATGAAATTGAATTAAATTTAAAACGTTTTTTTACATATAAACAATTAGAACAAGCATATTATAATTTACAAAATTCTCTTCATTTTTCTTTATCAATCATAAATCCAAATACTGATCAACATATATATGAAATTATTGAACAATGTATAAATAATTTAACAAATGCATCATATTTATTATCAATAATAGAGAAAATTTATTCAAATAAATTATTTTCATATTTACCAATATTTGTTACTAATGATTGGATTCATATGATACGTAATATACAAGAGCTTGAAAAATTTGATACACCATCAACAACAACGGTAGCTGATTTACAAGGACAAATGACAGGTTTGACTGAACATATATTATCATTACATCAATTAATTAATAATGTTACAAATCTTTCATCGTCAACATTAACAACAACAGCATTTGAATCGTTGTTAACATCAACCGATCAATGTTGTTTACGTACCTATTGTCAACATACATCAAATCAACGTATTATACCAATGGTAGATTCTCCAGCATCATCTTGGTCATCATTAGATCTTGATAAAAATCCTATAACAGCACTTAATCAAACAATACCAGGTTTTATTCGTAATCCAGTATCAAGTTTTCTAATGCCAACATCACCACAAATAAATGAAATAACATCATCAATGATATCAACTGATGATAATATAAGTAGTGATGATGAACAATCAATAAATTCTAAAGCGGGTTCAGTTGTTGTTATAAGGGACGATGATTTATGGATATATCCTGTTGGTGTTGATGTTCGAAAACCAAAATTTAATCCACATGAATATATACGTTCTCAATCTTTATTTAATCCAATAAATGAAACAAATGATCGAAAAAATCCATTTATTCGAACGAATAGTTTTGATGGTGAAGAGTTTTCGAGAAATTGTTTAACAAAATTAAAACCACAACATAAAAAACATAAGAAAGGAAAAGGTTGGAAAAGTTAATTAAGAATAGGAGTTAATATTTTTTTTTGAAATAGAAACTAATCATGTTGATTTTTGAAGATACAAAAATTTAATTCAGTCCTTTTTTGTAGTTCTAGCGGAAGAAACACCTTGGTTTCCACGTCGTATTACGGATCTGGATCAATGTTCAAATAAAGTTCTTTTATATGGCGTTGATCTTGATGCTGACCATCCTGTATGTCAAAATATTGCTTTTGTCTTTTTTCTTTTATGTAATTCATATTTGGTTTTTCTAGGGTTTTACTGATCAAGTTTATCGTGCACGTCGAATGTATTTTCATGATGTAGCTATTGCATATAAACAGTAAATATATCTATTGTTTAGTTTTTGTTCGTTTTTAATTTTATAATATTGTTTAGTGGAGATCCCATTCCACGTGTAGAATATACGAAAGAAGAAACTGAAACATGGGGTGTAGTATTTCGAAATTTAAATAAATTATATCCAACACATGCATGTAATGAATATTTGGCTAATTGGCCATTATTAAGAGAAAAATGTGGCTTTAGGTAAAATGAATTTTTTGCATTTGTTTTTAGTATGTTTTTTGGATTTATTTTTAGAGAAGATAATATTCCACAATTAGAAGATATATCACGTTTTCTTCGTGAACGAACTGGTTTTACTTTACGTCCTGTTGCTGGTTATTTATCACCAAGAGACTTCTTATATGGTTTAGCATTTCGAGTTTTTCATTGTACACAATATATAAGACATTCATCGAATCCTTCATATACCCCTGAACCGTAAGATTGTTTTCGTGTCCTTAAATTCAAAAAGAAAAATAATTTATATGAATATTAATTAATTTTCTTTTTTTATTTTAGAGATTGCTGTCATGAATTACTTGGTCATATACCATTGTTAGCAGATCCGAACTTTGCTCAGTTTTCTCATGAAATTGGTCTTGCTGCGATTGGTGCATCGGAAGAAGATATTAATCGTTTAGCAACAGTAAGATAATAATTTTAATTCTTTCAAAGTTTTCGTTATGAATTATAACTTGAAAATGAGGGTTTTTTTTGTTTGAAACATAAGAGCTGTTCAAATTGAATTTTTTATGAGGAAAATTGATGCATTAAATGATTGAGCTAATTTCTATGTTTTGATTTATTTTGCAAAATAATTACTTTATGTAAAATAAAATACGTAAGATCTCAGACTGAACTTGTTTGAGAATACATTTAATAATGTAAGTCAATGATGTTAGCTCAACTGGTCGGCTAAGATCTCGAGACAAACTATATATTTAGACGGTAAAGTTCGAAATAAAGCTTTCAAGGATTGCCGAAGGAGTGGAAAAAGCTAAAAATTCGGCAGAAAATGCTTTCATTCATCGTCGAAGTGCTAGAAATGTTGACTGAAAGGGGGAAAGAACGAAACTCACTGTAACGTGGCTGTTTCCACAACAGAAGACCTACTACCAGGCCGTCCTCCTCCAATTCTATTCATCTCGCAACGATATTGTTTGCTTATTTTTATTTCACGTTCTGCTAGAGAAAGGCAGGTGATGTTTCAACATCCGATTTCTATCCAAAGTTGCCACGAAGTTAAAAAAATTGGCAAAATGTGTTAAGAATTTTAACAGAAAGTCGGACCTTTTTGGGGGAACCCCTCTAATCAAGAACCCTGAAGTCTTTTAATTTTTCTTTTCGTCATTCATATCTCCTCCTTTACACAAATCTTCTTTTGTTTCTTTTATTATATACATCTCCTTCTCTAACTAAATATGAAAACTTGAAAAATTGGATATGACAAAAAATTTTTCTCTAACAATCTTTTAACTAGTAAAGTTCAAATCTTTCGAATTTTACACAAAAAATATTAAATGTAAAATTAAAAAATATTTTAGTGTTATTTTTTTACAATTGAATTTGGTTTATGTCGTCAAAATGATGGTCTTCGTGCATATGGTGCTGGTTTACTTTCATCATGTGCTGAATTAGAACATGCATTAAGTAACCAAGCTAAAAAAATTCCATTTGATCCAGATGTTGTTTGTCAACAAACATGTTTAATTACAACATATCAAGATCAATATTTTGTTTCAGCTAGTTTTGTTGAAGCAAAGGAAAAAATGAGGTACATAAAAAACAACAACAACAATAATAATAATAATCATTTATAATTTTTCTTTTTTGTCTTTTTAGAGATTTTGCTTTATCAATAAAACGTCCATTTGCTGTTCGTTATAATCCATATAATCAAAGTATTGAAATTGTTTCAAATGCTCAACATGTTGCACAAATAATATCGGATCTTAAAGGTGACATGTGCATTATATTCGATGCATTAAAAAAACTTCAAAATAGTCTTACAAATGACATGAATAATAAAATATAATATTATTGAATAACTCTCAAATTATTTTGTCTTGTATTTAAGTGTTAGTATTTATTTGTTTATTGTTAGTTGTCTTTAAAATAATAATAATAATAAAAAAAAACAAAAATAAATTATCATTTAAACATCAAATATTATACGTTCATCATCTTGAGTAATCAAATAAATTGGTTTAGAAAATGGATTTAACCATGTTAAACTCATTTTTGAACCAAAAACTATTTTTAATGAAGATATAAAAGAATTTCGTTCTCGATTTAAATTTGCTCCTCCTTTAAATAATTCAATTTGCTAAAACAGAAAAAAAAAGAATACAATAAATTAAAACTTTTAGTATTGGATATTTTTCTTTCTTAAAAAACATACATTTGTATCGGTATATATAGAATATAATTGTGTACAAGTCATGACACCAGTAAATACTGAGAAAGATAATCCTTCTAAACCAAAAAATATCATAAAAAGAAGTGTAACTGGCGGTGACCAAGCAGGACATACTATTAAATTTTTTGAAAAAAGAATTAATATATAAATATGTAATTAAAAAATGACTAACCAGTCCAATCCGATGAAATACAGGTTTTTACATGAATACTGAGAAGAAACATTCCGTAAATTGTTAAGATAAAAGTATAAAACTAAAAACACATAAAAGATCTCTTTTGAGAATCTCGAAATTCATCATAATTTGATTGATGAATATCTGTTAAAACTAATAGAAATGAGTTGTTTCCGATGCCTACTAATACGGTTAATGCGTCTGAGTTGTCTGTACTAACCATAAAGTCCAAAGTACGACATACGAACCATCTGTTTATTTTAATAAAAATATATTTCACTTATGAGGAAACTACCCGAGCTGATACAGACAGTTTGAGCTCATATTGGTCTTACAAGGACGCCTTGATGAGACTGGAAGGGTTTGTTTCCATGGGCCTTTGCAACAAGTTATGGTCATTTTATTAAATTTTCAACTCATAATCTAGTAACGGAACTTCAACGAGAAATTTTGTCTATAGATAAACCTAATGATTCTTAGAATAACTTGAACGTTTCAGCTGAAAAAAATGTTGTTTTATTGCGATATTGATTTTTTAAGTGAAGTTAACTTTTGTATCATGCCTGCACAAAGCAAATATTTCTTCAAAATCCGATAACTCAATAAAAGAATATTTGTTTTTCGCTGAAACTTTTAGGATATGCTACTGATCATTATACCTAAAGTTGAGTCGAAAATTCAGTAAAATGATTATAACTCCGCTTCGAAATCCTATGAGGACGAACCTTTTTCAGTCTGACTAAGGCACTCTTGTAGAAACAATATAACCTCAAACAACGGATATCAGTTTGAGTGATTCCCTTGCAACTTAAAATAGAATTCATTAATTGGTCTTGCATCAAAACGCAGTAGAGACCTCTTAAAATCTAAAAGAAATTTGTTTCAATTTCGTAACTAAATTTCATAAAGAAGAACTTATTTTTATAATTACTTTGTATATTGTTATAAAAATTTTCATTTCCTTGCTTCTATGCATTTATTTAATTGAGTATTATCAATTTTTAATAGGTTTTTTTCCCCATGTTTTGTCATTTTATATAGTTATAGACTTTTGTCATTTTTTTCACTAATATGTGAGATTCAATTTTGGAAATGTAGCAAATAAGTTTTAGCTCCAAAAATGATTTACTATTGAGACGTCATATAAGCTAAACTAATGAAAATAGCAAAAATTTCAATCGAAGAAAAATATATTATATATTTTTGCTTTTTGCCAATTAAAAGTTTTCATATAATATTCAAGATCGTAAATTTTTTTTGTTAAATAATTAAAAGCTTCTTTTCTAAGTAATAATAATATGAAGTTTCCTTTTTCTCATCAGTAACATTATTCAATAAGATCTGCTTTAGGATAAGTTCAGTCTGTTCTTATTTGATTGACACTTTTAAGTTTGACTGAATCTTAGAATGAATAAAAAAATAAAGATTGAATAAATCACTGGATAAATATTAAGTTCTTATAGAAGATTCTCTAATTATAAGAAAAAAAAAAGAATTCTTCAAGAAATTGAAAACTTTGTTTGCGGTCTTCTTGCGTGTTGATCTGATAAAAGATGAAAAAATACTACTGACACACAATTTCAGCTTATGAATAATTTATAAATAGATAGTCAAATAGAACTTAAAATAAAAGATAAAATACATGCAATAAGAATCAAATATTACTAAATCGAAATAATCATGTTTATTTTTTGATAAGATAAGTATATACTCAGTACACGTCGTAACATAATAATGGTGCATTTCTTTTTATGTCACCTAACATTAATTCAATGGTCTATTCAATCTTTTTCAAACAAAGACTTGAATTTCATTATTATATAAAAGCACTATTTTAGAAGGTAAGTTGCTATGTATGAATGAAATATTTTGACAGATCTTCAAATGCAAATTTTTCATTTTATCATCATATCATGAACGTAACAGTTTGTGTTGTATATGAGATTAAAATAGGAATTTTTCTATATTTTTTTTACAAAAATATATATTCTTACCGTAAATAAAATGAAATATTTTTGATTATTTTGTCCAACACAATTATTAACAAATACACAATGGTGATCCATTCGTTTTATGCACCGTTTACACACACTATTTTAAATAAATAATTCTAATAGATAGCAAATAAATCATGATAAGGAATCTCAAATATGAAAATTAGACACCATGACATAGAATTTAGAAAAGCTTCGAAAGGCTATTAGGTTGACTCGCCTGTTTGTTATGTTTTCTTTTTCTAAATTCTCAAGAAATAGAAAACTTCGTTGGTTTTTACGCATGAAATCTACATATTAAACTAAATAGTAGAATATTTTTATCTCTGAAAGATAAAAAATAATATAGTTTTTCTTTATTATATTAACTGGACACAATCATGACTAATAAAAGATTGTAAATGCAATGTTCATTTTTCATTTATTTATTCATTTTTCAATAAGTCCCAGTTCACAGTTTCTAATCAGCTGTTTTCATTATTATTACTCTTCATGAACGTTTAGCTATTTTTTTATTCTTCTGTCTTTCATATTTATAATATCGTGATTTGACAATACTGAATATGTCGTCTATGAGTATTTTATCAAACTGCTTTGAAATGTTCTTAATTAAAAACAGAATTTATTTTTCAAAATTTTCATGTCTTTTTCTTGTTACCTATTCGCGACCAATATATACTAAATTAAATTAAATGTTTCTTTATGTATGAATTTCTCTTGCATAACTTATTACGATAGTTTTGTACTTCTATTCAATACTCAACTTAATATTAATATACAAAAACAATTAAAGACCACGAGAGACAGGCTAGATCAAGTCTACAAACAGTAGTCGTACTTGAACCTCTGGTGCATAAATCTGAATATTGATTCATCAGATGGGTTTGAGATCAAGGTTAATCTGACGCCTGACAAACGAATGGTATTTTAATACTACAACATACTTCTGAACTTGATTATATATTTACAAAGTCTATTTTGATGTTAAAAGAAAATTCTTTGACAGTTGTTAATGAAGCAAAAATCACCTATCAACTTGTCTGACAAGCTTATAGCATTGAGTTTATAAATCGTAAGACATAACTCAATAAATAATCAATGGTATTAGTAAGATAATAATAATTAAAACTCAAAACAGTAAAGTCATTCATTTTTTTCTATACTTTCAAAGAATCACCTTTCTCTATAGTAGTGTACGTAACAAAGTATGATTCTTTAGAAATCTATTATATAGACAAACAAATAAATCTAATTTCTCAATTAGTTCATACCAAAGCTTGAAATTGAATAGTATCCAGAAATATAGTTAACTTTGGAAATTTTTCTCAAATTTTAGAATAATTTACTTCTTATACCATCAAAAAAGTTCAAAAAATTCGTAGTACCTACAATGATGTGCTCTAACTGGTTTTATACTTTGACACATAGCACATCGATATACAATTGTACCATTTTCATATCTACGTAAATTTTCTGGTGTAGCATTTTTCAATGGCACAGCACCCTAGAAAATAAAAAATAAATAAATTAGTGATATTATTTACAGATTAATACATACTGGATTCGAAAACATAGTTTGAAGATGTGATGCAATAGCAAGAAATTCAAGTAAATGAAATATGAACAAATTAAGTAAATAAAATAATAATGAATATGTTTTTGGTGTTAAAATAACAAAAACAAAAACAAATTCTGCATATAAAAACAAAATCCATGTCATAATACCACATGATAAACCACAAGCATCTTTTATACACCAATTAAATATACTTGGACAACATGAACATGTGCATGCACAATCATCATTTTCAACCATTGAACGTGGAATAATATCTTTTACAATAACACCTGTTTCTGATAATGAATTAGTTTCATCATCATCATGATTATTTGCTGATAAAAGTCGTGCGAAGGACATTTAAAATGTATGAAATATAGTCATTACTCTGTTGTTAAAAATTTCCTTCCTTTACATGACAACGTTAGTGCTGACATCGTTAATTTTTATTTTATTTTTGAATTTTAAATTGAAATCATATTGAAGGTTAGTTGCTTAGTAACAAGCAAAGTCATGGTTGATGATATTATGACTCATCTCTGACTATCATCTTCAAACAAGATGACATCTTGACTCTAATCAAACATTTTTTTTTTTATATTTCTTTTTAATCTTTATAAGAGATGAAATGTAAAAGTGCTTGTCATTTTGTAGTTGAAGATATCTTTTATTTTTTTATTTTCTTCTTTTTAACCTTGTGATCCGTCTTGTTTCACGGACAGAATTCCTTCTATTCCTTTTCTTCGTCTTCCCTTTTTTTCTCTTCTTTTCCTTTTTTTTTTTTTTTTATTATAATTCTCTTCTGTTACAAAAAATATTCTTCTCCAGATGGTTAATAATAAAAGAGAAAACAAGGATGGAAGAAAGGAAAAAAAGCTGGAGAGAAGACAGAACATCATTTTTCCATTCTATCTTTATATATTGTCTGACGATGACAGGATCACTTATAGGAATACGAAAAAAAAAAGAAAAAAAACAACAACAACAGATAGAATGAAGAAAGAAAAATAATAAAGAAATGGTAAGAACTTTAGTTCAATAATTAGATTTATTCACGCTTGCTTTTAAAATAAATTTATTTTAATAGTACTGGTTTTATTCAATTATTGAACATCAATGAAATTGGTATCTTTTTTTCCGATGTTGTTAAATTTTTTTCATTAACAATTGAGTAGGTATAAATCACTACAATTATGAATAGAAAGTAAAAATTCATTTATGCGTATATTTATTTATATTGATTTAAACGATAAGTAATTTTTCGTAGTGAGTGTCAAGAAATCTTTTTAGTGTTACATTTGAAATCTATTTTATCTTAAGATTGTTTTCCTTTGTTTTCGTAAATAAGTTACTATGATTATATTTTATCATTTCATTGGCATCAACAACACAACGAACAAAATAGACTGATAAGAGTTAGAAAGAACACAATACTCTTCTTTTCTTTCGCTTTTCTTTTTTTTTTTTATATGACTACTATCTTCTTTTGTTGCGTACTTAACAACAAGATGAAGTGTAATAATTGATATTATTTTCGACGACTTGCTGTTTTCTTTTTTTTTCTACGTTATATAATCCACTTTTTTTTGGTTTATTTGAAGATCTATGTATATATAAATCGATGTTATAACATCAAAAAAAAAAAAAAGAAACTATAATACAAAAATGAACAATGAACGTGCGCCAGGACAGTAAGTTTGTGTTTATTATAAATATCAAATAGAAAAAAGAGCTATTTTTTCTTATATTATAGAATTTCGGATGATGATGATCAAAATTCTTTGACATCTTATCAAAAATTTGATAGAAAAAAAATAAATCAAAAGGTAAAAATATTCGTATTTAATCAATTTCTGATGTTTTTAACTTTCTAGCAAGAAGCAATAAAACGCGCTGGAGATTTACGTACTCGTCGTACACCTCATCGAACGGATATGTCAGGTCCGGATGAAATAAAAGGTAAAATAAAAACTTTGAACCATTGCTGTCGTTTTCAATTTGACGTGAACATCAACGTTCTCCGTAGAATCATAAGCGGAAAATCTTTTCTTCTTCTTCTACTTCTAGAACACATAAACGTGCTACTTTTCTATCATTTCAGATTAATTAGGGTAGAATAAAATGAGTTAGATCTAGATATCATATCTTCCCGTGTTTTCAACTCATTATCTAGTCATTTTTTTCTCTTCTTTCATGACAAACAATAGTCTTTGATATTTATAATATTCTTATTTGATAGAGAAAACAAACAAAACATATTACAAAATTTTTACATTCGAATTTCTAATGTCTCTTACATTTTAACACTTATTCTGAAAATGCATTATTCTCGACTCATAGGATTTGACAATAGTTCATTTCATCCTGATGATGGTGAACTAACAACATTTAATGGTAATACTCGTACAATAGCTTTACCAACTGAACCATTGCGTACTATTCGTATAACTTCCAATGAAAAAGTGATAGCAGTAATAATTAATTATTAAAATGAATTTATAAATGGTTGTTCATTTTCTTTTAATAAATATTAGAAAAATAGTACAAATATCTCTCGTCCATCAACTGCCACATCCATTCAATCAACATCTCTAAATCGTTCTATAAATGCAACACAAAGACTATCCGGTGTTACAACTACAGCAACTATTGACGATGATGGAGACGAAATAAGATTGCATGGTATGTTATATTCAGTTACTAATAAAAAAACAAAGAGAATGAATTTTCAATGCTTTTATTATTGAGCATTCTTTTTATTAATGCATGAGTGTGATACAATTAAGGATGAAACAGTGTATGCTCGATGTAATACTTCGGTACACTTTTATGTAAGATTTTATTTAATATATTGCATGTGCTTTTCTTAGAAGAGAAGCAAGTCGACATTTTGTTCTTGAAACTTATAGACGTACTGAGAAGTGAACTTTGAATAATACATGCTGTTTCATTCTTACGCAAAGTGCTATCAAGCAAAGCTTTTTCTTGTTTTTTTTATGCTTATTGCTTTTGTTAGTATTTCTACGAAAAATGCATCGTCCTCAATCACTCCCATATAGTGCTTTTTCTGCATAACACAACTTGTCTAAGGTTGATGACGATGCATGTCGAATAGAAGTGCCTATTTGTTTGTGTTATTTGTTTATGTTGTGCACCCTCCTTTTAAAGAACGCAAATGCACGAGCAAGCATGATGATCACCTTCCTTCTACTAAACAAGCTCACCGTCGTTATCGTCGTAAACCTATTCAACATTCTGCTTCATCGTCATCACTTGATAATGATGATCCTAATCCATTATCTCGCACTGATAATGTTGTGGCAAAAAACCCTTCACAACATGATCATAAAGATGAAATAACCTCTAATAATCGTGTTGTATCTCCTAATGAATCAAAAAAATCTAAAAATCCTCCTCGTGATTATACAGATTCAGATGATGAAGCTGAACGTTTACCAGTTAAACCATGGTCACCAACTCCAAGTTATTCTAATGGTTCATCATCATTACAAATTGCAAATATGCCTAATAATAATCAAGATCCACAAGCATCATCACCACAATTAACCGTAGCGTTACGTGAACTATTTGAAATGATTACAGAAGACTTAGATAGATTTGTTTATACACCAGCACCAAACGGTCTTGGTGATATTCAATGTCGTATAACACGTGATAAACGTGGCATGGAGAAAGGTCTTTTTCCAACATATTATATGCATGTTGAAAGACCAAGTGATGGAAAAAAAGTAAGAATTAATCCAAATTAAGAGCAAAAACAAATGAATTTAATTTTTATTTTATTATCATATTAGTTTTTTATTCTTGCTGGTCGTAAACGTCGACGTAGCGCAACATCAAATTATTTGATATCAACTGATGCAACTGATTTATCACGTGATGGTGAAAGATTTATTGGAAAATTAAGGTAGGAAAAAAAACAAGAAAACAAAAATTTATTTTATTAACTGATAAAAAACCTTCTAGAGCAAATATGTTAGGTACACAGTTTACTGTATATGATCATGGCTCAAATCCAAGAAGAAATATGTAAGTTTATTGAATATGTATAAAAATAAATAAATAAAATTTTCTTTTTTGTAGTCCGGTTGAAGAAAATCGTCGAGAATTAGCTGCAATTGTTTACGTATATATATTATGAAATAAAAAAATTCTTTAATTCTTTTTATATATTTTAATTAGGAAACAAATATTTTGGGTTTTAAAGGACCACGTAAAATGACAATACTTATTCCAGGCATGAGTAGTGATCATATGCGTGTTGAAGTTCGACCAAGAAATGTAAAATAAAAAACAAATAACATTAATTATTTTATTTTATTTAAAAAAAATGTTTTTTTTATTTTCAAGGAATCCGAAAGTTTAATTGAACGAAGGAGACATAATAATATGGATAATATACTTGAATTACATAATAAAACACCAGTGTGGAATGAAGGCATAAATTAATATTGAAATAAAAAGTTTCTTGAAATTCAGATTTTTTTTGAATTTTAGAAACTCAATCTTATGTACTTAATTTTCATGGACGTGTAACACAGGCATCAGTTAAAAATTTTCAAATTGTACACGATGATGATCGTAAGTAAAAAAAAAAAAAAAAGGAAGGAACAACAATAAAATTTACATAAGAAGATCAGAAAAAAAGACGTATTTTTTTTGTTTTAATAGTAAATATATTGAGTTATAGCAGATGCTTGTAACTAACTTGTGTTTTGTTTTTATTAATATTCATGTAAAAAAACTGCTTTTTTTTTCTTTTACCAAAATTCGGTTATTTTTTAATATTTACTTTACATTCAATGGGTTTATTTTCTCTATAAAATTTTCTTTTGTTTTTATTTATATTAATTTTTTTGCATTTGTTTTGTAGAAGACTATGTATGCATGCAATTCGGTCGTGTTAGTGATGGTAAGCTTGATTTAATTGAAAATTTTTCTATGATGCTTAAACGAAAGAGTATTTTAAAAAATTGTAATTTGTGCATGATTAAGAAGAAGATGAATATTAATGATCAAGCGACATAATCAGAGATTCATAGCGGAAATGAAAAGAAAGTTTTTATGATTATGTCGAGTACCATGTGGTCATATTCTTATTGAAATAACTTGTAGATTGTTAAATCAGTGTATGTCAGATTATGGAAAAGTATTGTCAATTTAGAGTATTTAGGAAAAAAATATTCTAAATCTCTTCATGAGAAAAATCTTGTTTGCAATCATGAGATTTACGATTTTGTATTAGTAAAAAAAAAAAGAGTATAGATTTTCATCCAATATGATAAGTATATCAGAAATAAAGCTAGGATTTTGCCAATACATAAATATATTAAAGTTTTCCTTAATATACTTCAAACAACGGTTAAGTCGTAGTTTTTTTATAAGTCCAAACATAAATACTTTGATTATTCTGTAAGCTATTTCTAGGTAACTAATGCAAAGAAAGTAAGCTACAAGCACAAGTTCATCTTTTGATCGTGTAAAACAGACAAAAGATAAACACCTATTCAATGTAAAGAAAATTGTATTGATTACATAACTGCGCATCAGATAAAAGGAAAATCTCATGTTATTTCTCTCCTGTTGTGCATGACAGAGTAGTATCTATGGTGTTTTTTTTCATTTGTGAACTTGCTCAGTACATTTTAAATTATCAGCCATTTTGAAGCCTATTAATGTAATGTTTTTATCATATAACACAAGAATATTTCTATATGACACTTAACTCAATAATAATAAAATAAAGAATAGAAACACATTCGAATAGTATTTTGAACAGCAAGGCATCTGACTAAAAGGTTTTAGAAACAATGAATAGGTGTGTGTTCAAAGGAGTACTTAATTCTGTATGAGTCTATTATTGGTTAAATCTTATCGATGAAACATGTTTCATCATTGATTAAAATAGAAAATTCAAATTTTTTCAAATTTTGAAAAACAATATATAAAAACATTTTTTTACTACTTACCTTTGATTTTTATTTGGATTTTTATGACCTAACAATGCTATAGACCTTGTAGAATTTATTGTTGAGCATTTATTTAACCATAAGGTTACATAAAAATTCATACTTGTATTGCATCGAATATTTATTGTAAAAGGTAGGCTGATCATATGGAGTACATGATCATCAAACTTGACACTAATAGCTTCTTTTTATTGTGATATATCAAAAAGAAATATTCTATTAAAAGGGACAAATGATTTATAGGTCATAAAACGAACGAAAATGATGTTATTTCAAAGGAAATCCTATGTAATGACTCGTTGAGATCGAAAACAACCAGAATTTTTCTATTTAGGTCAAAAATAATTTATCTGAATAATACTTTTATGTTTATTTATATAATTAAATACTTGACAGTAATAATTATCATAGAGAAAGAAAAATAAATGATATAAATTCAACCAATAATATGGTTATATTAAATTACTTTTCTGACACTCTATGTTGCACTTCTAATCAATATAATCAGCAATAAAAAATTCATTTATTAATCAGGTAGCAGAGTGTCAGAAGCCTACGGAAACGAAGGTATACATTCTCAATAATTGAAAATTATTCATTATTATCCAATGAAACACAACAAGATATTTTGAATTTTTCACTACCTTAATGATATATTTTCTTATACATTTTCCTCAATCTTAATGCCCTCATGAGGCTTCTGTAGATTGTAAGGAATGAATTAGTTTACAATAAATTTGTTTCATCGTGACACAGTTACATAGTAATATTTATACATATTTCAATAGTCCGTAAAAGAAAAGAATAGAACAATGAGTAAATGTTTTGATAGTATGTACGTCACATCTACGGTGAAAAGAAGTAATGTATGAAGTGAGCACATGAAAATTCTTCTCATCTTGTTCTGTTCTGATGTCATCATATGCCCTATTGAATAATATGGCAGGTCAACAACACTGGTTTGTCTAGTACTCAACTCTGAAGCTAGTTTCAAATTATTTTTATTAAATATCTAACGAAGCGAAGCTTTATAGGGAAACGCCCTTGGTGACTACCGTCAGCATCTGATAGTAAATTCTAATGGTTATATACTGTAATTAGCTCCTTTGAATAAAGTGTGAAAGGTATCATGAACATAGTTCCTTCCTGTTTCGGTAATCAAATATTATTGATTGTCTTTTATCTATTCATTCAAGAATAATAGAAACCTTGTATGATATTTTAAACTTGAGGTACATCTAGAGCATTTTATTTATTCGTTTTAATCGAGAGAATTTTTAAAAACAAAAAGGGAACTGTGGATTATATGTATACTTTATTTTTAAATATAATTTAAGATGTTTTCACATGCGATTACAAATATCCATTATGTGCTGTTCAAGCATTTGGTATTGCTCTATCGTCTTTTGATGGAAAACTTGCTTGCGAATAAATGTTCTCATTTGTCTTTTAATTCCGTCCTTTTTTTTTGTTTTTCTTTTCTTATTTTCACATATTGTACACATTGTTCGTTCTTATTTATTTTCATTGTTTGTTTTTTTTGGAACTACTTTTTTTTTTGTTTTCAATATGTTGCTTTATCAACTAGTTTTCATTTTTCAACCAAAAATACAGAATCATTCTTTTTTTGCTCTTGTTCAATGTTCTATATATGTCTATCTATGTTTGTGTGTATCTGCACGACTGGAAATAATAATAATAATAATAACAAAAGAAAGACTATATTATATATTTTATTCAGTAGGTAAAATGTGAATTTTTCTCGATAAAATCTACTAAAAACAATAAAGAATCGATGAAAATAAACGATTGTAAAAAAAATTAAATATTGATTCTGTCCGATATCCAGATGTCAACGGCTTTTTTTGTTGATTTCATGAAGACGATCACTTACATTACTGATATTGTTTTTTGCTCTTGTCGTCCTCCTCCTTTATCTTGTGGTGTAAATTTGACGTCTCTCTTTTTTCTATAAAAATGCTAACAAAGCCTATCCCTTCATATTGATTCATCATCACACGAGCGTTTTTTTCTTCTCTCTTTGGTTTATCCGTTATAGCCTATTACTCATGCCCTTCGATGGACTAAATATAAAAGGAAAAAAAGGCGCAAAGAATGAAAAATGTTGGCTCAATAAAACTGTCAAGAAAAGTTAACTCTTACTCATTTGAAGGCAATAACAACTGAACTATGGCAGGCGCTTGTGCAAAATTATTGTTGATACTTGTTAGTTTAATCCTTCCCCCTATTGCTGTATGGATCGCAAGAAATAAAGTCTGCAGTGGTACTGTATCACTTAATATTCTTCTTACAATACTTGGATTTGTAAGTATTTTTATTAAAATTGAATTAATTATCAATTTAGTTGCTTTTACTCTTTTTTTAAAGATTCCTGGAATTATACATGCTTGGATTGTCATTTGTTGTTGTGACAATCTTGATTCATAACTCTAGAAGAAAATTAAATATTCATAAATTATTTCTTCTTGTTTTTCTCTTCTTATACAAGAACATGTAAAGAAAAAAAAACTGAAAGATTTTATTCATTAAAGAAAAAAAAGTACAATTCGATTTTGTTTATTAGTGAATTACAATTTTTCTTGCTTTATCAGGCTTCATACGAAATAATGAAAATAGACCGAAACCATTTCTATGCAATAAACTTTATTATATTTCGTACCAATGTTATGCAGCAAAATTTTCTTAACATTTTGCAAGACATACATTTCACAGTTCAATGTCTGCGAGATTCAAATTTTTTTAGTTGCATACTATAAGGAAAAGCATTAGTCGGGAAAAAACACGCACAAAACATATTTAACCAGTGCATTTTGCTCGGTTTAATTATAGCTAGAAAGAATATTTCCGAGCAGCTGCCAGTGAAAATATCTACAGGAGAAAAAAGTGTGACTCTTCATTGTTTTTATAAAAAAAAAACAACAAACGTTACTCTATATTTTATAGTAAAATGTTAATCGTTTTGTTGAATAGAACAAGATTAAGGGATTCAAATTGTTTTCATTTATAGAACTTTAACATTTTATATATCTACTATAAAAATTGATGTAAAAAAAAACGATTGATTGAAGAGTGATAGAGTGAAAGTGATTTTCAAAATGTCACTTGACAAATTGACTATCATTGATTTTTACTACAAGGTCTTCTTATTTTATCTCTAAAACGAAATTGATAGGAGACAATTTTTTTATACCGCATACATGCTGTTAGTGCTATTATAATGACAGTTTGTGAATAAAGTTAATATCATTCTAAACAAAAAAAAAAGAATTTGCCAGTGTTTGTCAGACTTGGTAGACATCGATCTAGGAAATAAATAAGAAATGAAACTCGATAGAATGTTAAATGCTCTATTGAACAGGACTATTTACATCCGTTTCTTCATTCTTTATCATAATCAAAATATTTTCTTTTCTTTACATATGTTTTAAAAAAACTGACGTTTTTCATAGCGTGTGTCTCTCATACTTCAGTGAAGACATTATCTAGAGAACTAAATGTTGTGTACATGTGCAATCATCACAGAGAAATTTATGTTTAAAAAACTGTTCAAATATAAACAAAAATCTCAATTGTACCAAAAAGTTGCAATTACAAACATAGATATATTTATTTATAGTCAATGTAAAACAAACCAAATAATTAAATTAAGAGGAATGAAACTTAAAAACTTTTAATGAATTACTCTTGGATGACTACGTGGTCGATATAGCATAGGTAGAATTGAAATTCCCATTCGATGTTTTGATTTGCCATTGAAGTGATGTTGATCAGATTTTATTTCTTGAAAGTCAGCTAAAATTTTTCTACATGTATCAGTTGAGAAACCCGACATATCTGCAGCTTTTTGTTCTCGTGATTTACTATTATTTTTATCTTTTGAGTGTAATAAAGACTTCTGCTTGGTTAAAAATGGTGGACCTTGATTTTTTTTATTTGTTTGTACACTACGTATGTTTCGGGTCTGCTGATTCCGATAAGGTGAATCTCGTAACATATGATCAGTTGTTCGTGATTTAGAATTATTTCTATGTAACGAATTAATAGTACATGATGAAAATGTACCAACAGTAGTACGCGGACGATTATGAATAGAAGATTTTTTAACAATAGTAGGAAGATCATAATGAACGCCTTGTTTAACTTTCTCTGCTAATTCCAAATTTTCATCATGTTTTTCTTCAGTTTGTTCTTTTATTTCACCATATAATGATAAATTATCTTTGAAAGAACGTCTTACACTTATAAGATCATGTTCATAAATATTTAGTCTACTAAACGATCTGTTTCTTTCTAAATAACTTGTACTCCTTGATCGCTTTGAAAGATGAGCTGAAACTGCAAATCTTGATATTGCTCGTCTAAAACCACTAGTACATGATTCGAAGCGATTGTTGTGCATTAATGTATGCCAATTATGAGTAGCATGTAATGTTAAGTGATCTTCTTTAATAGCTTCAGCAGCAAGAAGTACTTGAGCAACTGGACGTGAAATTTGTAAATAATAATCATTTAATCGAAAACATGCACCAAATGATGATTCAAGATCACTATGCATTTTATTTGACGGTAAATTTGCATGAAATGATCGAACAGCAGTTTCACAACCATGTTCCTGCTGAAAATCAGAACTTATTTTTAAAGCAGCACATTGTACTTTTGGATCGTGCACAAAAGTGAATGCAGCAGCTAATTCTTTTGCCGTTACAGTTTTACCTGGCATTGGCGGTGGACCGGCGCCACTTTTACTTATCACTGATCCCCAAAAGAATTGATCACCAAAAAATGGTACTATAATAGTAGGCTTTCCAGCAAGAAGACCAGCTGCAGTTGTTCCTGCACCACCATGATGACATACAGCTGCCACTAGAATAAGACAACAGTTTTTTTTTTTTAACTTAAACAAAATAAAACAAGATTTACCGTGTTTGAAAAGCCAATCATGTGGGCAATTGCCAATTTTTAGAACATTATCGGGTAGTTTATCAACATCTATATCAAACCCGGAAAGTAAAGCTCGATATCCAGTAGCTTCTAAAGCTTCAAGTACAGCTTGTAAGATTCGTTCAGAATCATGACCAGTAATTGAACCAAAACCAATATAAATTGGTAGATCACCCGATTCAAGAAACTGAACAAGATTATCCGGTGGTTTATAATTTGTTGCAAGATCAAGAAAGAAAAATCCAGATATATCAATATGTGAAGGCCAATCAGCTGGTTTAGGAACAAGTGAAGGTGACCAGCAATACGTATGTGGTACATGTTCATCCAGCATTAAACGAACAGCTTGACGAGTATGTAACGGTGATAAACCAATAGTCTTACGAAAATCATTAATTATACTATGCAAACCAGACCATGTCTAAAACATATGTCAAATAAAAAAGTCATTACCTATTTGTACAACGATTAGATCATTACATACAATATGAATATTTCATCACTCATTCATCATATAGTTTTACTCATATCTCTAATCGATTTAAATGAGATATGTGCTTTTTTGTTATATTTTGAATTAATAATTTCTATATGAAAAATTTAGGCCAAATATATTCTAAGATACTCATTCATTATAAAAGTTTTATTTTAGTTAATCATTTACAGCTATGTAATGCTCTATCAATTTGTTCCTGATTGTCATTATTGATTGTTGGAGTACACATACTGTACGGGATCTGTCATCAATCATAACTTTAAGTAGAATTGTTTTATCGAATGGCCATATAGACCAGAGCTCACGATTAGAGANTAATTTTTTTCTATGCCAATTCATTAAAATGTATGATATATCTATGTTAAAACGCATTAACTTCTGTAATTTCTTTGCATACAGACGTTTAAACATGTTCATTACTCTAATATCTTCGTTAAATGCGTTAAACGGAAAATAACCATTTTCACGCGTTTATTTCTTGAATTTGTCTAGTAAACGAGTTTTATAGCGTTGTTTTCTTCAATTCTCATCGTCAATGCATCAAAACGGCGTTTTTCCATTTATCTGTCTGCATGGGTAATACGTATATTTCCCTATATATGAAACTTTTGATACATGAAACGCTGCCTAATTTTTCATCTCATTCTATTCAGCAAGGATTTAGCATCTACTTCCTTTCTGCTCTGTAAAATATGTGGTTCTTATCGGCCGATATCTACCTAGGATAGAAATTTCGATAGACTAATATTTTTCCAGGCTGGTTAAACTTTTGTCATACATTCTTAGGAACGGAACTTTGTTAATTTTTTTTTATTTTTTTTTATTTTGCGTTTCCATGTAACACTCAGAAGTGCTTACATTATGAATTAATTAAAAGTGATTTTTTGTTTCAATATAAGCTACAATTTCCGTGCAAAAAGTTATACAGCATTCACCTTTGTCTGCGGGTACTAAATATTGAATCAGCAACTAGCTAGAGTTATTGATACCAGACTTGAAATCCGAGACTACTAGTGATTGATGGAAATGTTGAATATATCAGTCAAGTCTTCGTTATTTCAAATTGATTTCTCAACAAATTCTTACTGAAGATGACTGTATCACTTGGCTTCCGAATGAGAGGCTGCGCCAAGGGGGTAAGTGCTGGCACCCAGCACCAAAAAACACTGAAAAGTGCTGGACAGGTGCTGAGGTGCGGAGCAGGTGCTGGGGTGCTGAGCAGGTGCTGAGGTGCTGAAAAGGTGCTGAGGTGCTGAGAAAGTGCTGAACAGGTGCTGAGGTACTAGCGATGCACCAGTTTCAGTAGACTGGGTCCTACCCAGTCCGACTGTGTCCTCATCTGTCTCTTCTTGGGAAGGTACTCAAGTCCTCAATTCTCTATATTTGAGATAGGTCTTGGGTCCTCATGGGCCACTATTTGGAGGTGTCCTTGGGCCCTCAAGTCCTATTATTTAGAGGTATCCTTAGTGTTCATATGCTACTATTTGGAGGTAGTCTTGAGTCCTCATGGGCTACTATTTAGAGGTACCCTTAGGTCCTCATGTCCTATTTGTTACGACCTGCCATTCAGTTACGCCATAGAGTCGCCCCATCTACAGTATCTCTTATTATCTTTCTACATCTCACCTGTTGTTTGATTCGTACGCTCTTAATGTTCATGATCTATCTTCTCTCTTTATCTCTCTCTCCTCTGCTCGAGAGATATCCAGGTGTTCGTACTATCTTTATGTTCATGATCTATCTTTTCTCCCCTTTGTTATTTGATTTGTACTATCTTTATGTTCGTGATCTATCTTCTCTCTATGTTCTCTCTATTTCTATATATAGCTAGTTAGTTATGTAGTAGGAGACTTTTTGGGTTAACCTATTGGATATATACAGCGGAAGGAAAGCAAGAACCTTCACACTATTATTTAGAGACATCCTTGGTCCATCATGTAATATTATTTGGAAGCACTCTTACGTCCTGATGTTTTGTCAACCCTTCTGCCACCTGTCGTTTCACAATAAAAACTCAATGGGGGCGGGGCGGAGGGGCGTGGTTTTTATTCTCTTAGGGTAGTTATAAGTTTGCGCAGGCGCTCCTTTTTTCCAATGGTCGTTTTTCATGCTGCCATTAATATTTAATTAGCACACAAGCATAAAGGATCCTAGAAACCTACGCACAGTTCCAACACGGAAAGGGATATATTTTACATACTGCCAGAGAAATATGCAATGATTCGTTTACTATAAAGCAAGCATCTCCCATTTTGGAAAGATAGATGGGTCAGACTCCTGAATATTATAATAGTTTATGTCATAGGATTCTATACTAGCATTGCTATTCAAGTATGATGACTTGTGCAGAATTGGTGTCAATTATACTTCAGTTTCTTCAGGGGTCGCTATGGCTGAATGACTAAAATGTTTGACACATATCCACAAGATACCGTGTTCGAACCTAGGCTCCATCAGTCATAGAATGACCTTGGACAAGTCACTAACGGCTGTTTTGTCTCCGACCATCCATCCGATAACAAATTGACTGCGTAGTTGACATACAATAAATAGTCCTTGTGACTAGTATGTGGTTAGTCAGTATGTATGGGGAGCTTAAGAAATTAAGCGAGAAGAACTCTGAGTCAAGCTGGCCTTCTGTCCAGAGCTACATTTAGTAATAGATGTTAAAAAAATATCGGGCTTCTCGAAACTGTCCTCGAACAGCACCCTATAACGCAAGGTAGCCGAAAGACGGGGTATTCTTCTTCCTCTTCTTCTTTTTCTTCAGTTTCTTCAGAAACTTAATTTTTTGGTGAAAGGTTTATGCATATTGCCGCAAAAGTTAGTATAAATTTGCATCTTTTGGTTTCTGAGCTGTACGTAATTTCCACACAACACAAGACCTAAGAGAACGGTGTTGTTCCATACGTGAAACGTTTTCAATACTTCTAAGACAACTATGCTATATTAATACGAATTGTTATATATTTTCCAACATTTGAAAGGCATTAATTTTTGTGATTTTTCTGTTGATAGAAAATATATACAAAGCAAACCGATTGAGACATAAAAGTGATCTATAATTAAATACTGGGAAGCAATGACTTCACTTATCAATTTCCAAAAGTATCTGTTCTGTGCTCATTTGGGATAGAAGGGCTTCTAGTGTGTTTCGAACGAGATAATATTGGGATTGGGTTTCTGTTCCGTATGGGCTTCTATTACACGGTGGACTTATATTTATTCTGTGGAGGGATTTTAAAAGATGTAAGAACCGCAGCATACAGTCATACAACAGTATATGAGGACGCAGCAGTACCTCTAAATAATAGGACATGAGAACCAAAGGATGCCTCTAAATAGTAGCATATGAGGACCCATGGATACCTCCAAATAATAGTCCGTAAGAGCCAGAGGGTACCTGTAAATAATAGCCCATGAGGATCAAAGGGTACCTCAAAACAATAGCATATGAGGGCTTAAGGGTACCTCTAAATAATAGCATATGAGGACCCAAGACTACCTCCAAATAATAGCCCATGAGGACCACAGGGTACCTCCAAATAAAAGCACATGAGGACCAAAGAGTACCTCTAAATAATAGCCCATGAGGACCCAGTCCTCCAGTTCTGAACTGAAACTCGTGCATCCCTCTGAGGTGCTCATACATCTGGTTCAAAGGTTACAGGTCAGCACCTCAACGTTTGACCTTTAACCTTTGAACTATTGTACTCTCTAAAGAAAAAGAGTGTCATACTGAACCTTTTCCGGCACCATTTTCTGAACCTTTTTTTTGGTTCTAGCCATGTTCTAGAACTGTTAAAAGGTTTAGCCGAAAAGTCTGGAACCTTTTAGAGTTCTATACTTTCTGGCTAGAACTGAAAAAAACGGTTCAGAAAATGGTACCGAGATCTAGAACCTTAAAAGGTTCAGCGTCTTTGCTAAAACCTTTAAAAGGTTCAAGATCTGTGCTAATACCTTAAAAAGGTTCATTATGCCACCTCTTTTTTTAGAGAGTATGAGCATCTCAGCCCCTTCAGTACCAAAGGTGCTGAGAAGGTGCTGAAAAGGTGCCGAGGTGTTGAGCAGGTGCTGAGGTGCTGAGCAGGTGCTGAGATGCCAGGGTGCTGGGTGCCAGCACTTTCCCCCTTGTATTATACCTGGTTAGATTAGAGAAAGTCGATATGTCTGTCTACAACAGAAAAGAATTGTAAACACTCTATACCAAAATATAGTCAAGAGGATGTTGATGAAAAATATTTCATCTCTTTCTGTATGCGGATACCAGTATATTTTATTTAATGTTTAACTTCATGCATGCAAAAGATTTATTAAATATATTTAACAAAAAGAAATGATATTGACCATTTTAATTTGTAACAATTGAGAATAATAAAAAATTAATTTCCTCTAAGTATTTGAATTTCAAAAAGTAATGTTTTTCAGTTAATAGATTACATTATCAAATACAAATGTTTTTAGATTAAGAAACTTCCTCGTCTGATAACTTTGAAGACTTTTCTCTAGTATTGTTTAATATGTTAGAAAATTCTCTAATAAATTTAAAATATTAACAAAAAATTCATTATGATTTGTAACCGAAATGGATAGAATAATTTTCTACTATTTATTAATTATTGTAGACGTGAAAAATGCAAAATAGCATTTTTATGTGTTATGTTCTATATTTTAGTGCTCATTGTATTATTTCTTCTAGACTTACCTGACAGAAAGAAATCAGGCTTCATTAAATATTAATAACTGTTTGCAAAGAAGAATATTTAAAAATCTTCAGAACTCGATATAATGCAATATTTCGCTCTTCAATTATAGAGTTTTACTGTCATTCTGAAAAAAGAGATGTAAGATAAATAACTTCATAAAAATTCTATCGAATAATAATATCTCATCATTTATATTTGCAATAATGATGAATAAAATTGATACAATTACATTTTAATCCTCTTTCATTTTAGCCAACCCATTCATCATTATTCTTTTATAAGGTAAGTTGATTTTTAATTGTCTTTAAGATAATATCTTTTCTATAATCATGTATCATGGCAGAGAGATGCTTCTTTTTGTTGTTCATATTTCTTATATTGTAAAAGATTGAATGAAAATGAATATCTATAAATCGAGTTAAGAAACTTTTCTTACGTGTTACTATGAAAAAAAAAAAAGTTTCTTGTTGATACGATAAATTATCTCACAGTTGTAAAAGCGACGACTACTTTTCAGTAAAATATTTTTTAACGCGTTCACCTAATTCATTCTTGTAAATTATTGATTATAGATATTTAAAATTTCTATTTGATCGTTTGTAATATGAAAAGTGCATTTTGTTTCTTGATAGT